TTCCTGGAGCAGATCTTCATCTTTCTGCTTCACAGGTTCCTGGAACAGATCTTCATATTTCAGCTTCATAGGTTCCTGGAGCAGATCTTCATATCTCTGCTGCACAGGTTCCTGGAGCAGATCTTTTTCTATCTTCTTCAGAGGTTCCTGGAGCAGATCTTCATATTTCAGCTTCACAGGTTCCTGGAGCAGATCTTCTTCTCTCTGCTGCACAGGTTCCTGGAGCAGATCTTCATATCTCTGCTTCACAGGTTCCTGGAGCAGATCTTCCTCTCTCTGCTGCACAGGTTCCTGGTCCAGATGTTCCTCTCTTGGCTTCTTCTCTTCTGTCTCTCGTCTTTCCTTCCCTTCTCTCCATCTCTTCTTCTTCATTTCGTCCACCTCGGTCGTTTTTCTCTCTTTTTCCACCTCAAACACCATCTCTATATTAGAGTGCTTTTCTTTCTTTGCTTCCGTCTTTCTTACTGTCTTTATTTTTCTCATCATCGCTTTCACTTTCTCTCTGAGGGTGCTATCCTTCCTTCTTTCCTCCAGCCTTCTCTCCACATCTCTCTGATGTTCTTCCTTCTGCATCCTCTTTTTCTGAATCATCTCTCTCTCCCTCTCCATCTCGTTCTTTCTTTTCTGCAGCTCTCTCTCCATCTCTTTCTTTCTTTCCTCCAGCTCTCTCTCCATCTCTTTCTGTCGTTTCTCCCTCTGCTTCTTCAGTTCCAGTTCTTTCTGTTCCATCTCCTTTCTCTTGATGGACGCCTCCCTCTCCTCTTCCAGCCTTCTGTTTGTTTCTCTCTCCCTTTCGTCCATCTTCCTTTTCTCTCTCTCCACCTCTTCTTGTTTCTCCTCCAGCTCTCTTTCCATGTTCTGCTGTTTGTCCATCAGTTTTCCTTGCGTCTTTCTCTCCTCCTCTCTCAATTCTCTCATTTCATCCTCTCTGGTTCTCTCCATCTCCAGACACCTTCGATCCCATTCTTCCTCCTGCTTCTTCATCTTTTCTCTCCACTTCTCCTCTCTTCTCTTAGCTGATTCTCTTTCCTCCATCATCCTTCTCTCCATCTCTCTCAGACGCTCTTCCACCTGCCTCCGTCGTTCCTCCTGCTGTCTCTCGAGCTCTTTCTGTTTCTCTCTCTCCATTCCCTGTCGTTCTTCCTGTGACAGTCTCTCCATCTTCTCAAGCTCCATTTCTGTCTTTCTCTCCATCCCTCGCTTCACTACAAGCTCTGGAAGCCACTCCTCCTCGCTGCTGCTCTCCATGGAGGCCATTCTCTGCTCCAGCTCCTCCAGCTCTCTCTCCAGTTCCTCCTTTCTCTCTCTCCATCTCAGATCTTCCATCTGTCTCTCTTTCTGGATTCTCTGAAGGAGGAGCAAGCTTTCTCTTTCCGCATCCATTCTGTCCACATCTCTCTGAGCTGTCCGGAATGCTTTCCTTCTCATGTTCTCCAACTCCCGTTCCAGCTCCTCCTCTTGCTCTTTGAACTGGAGAATCTTAGCGGCGTTCCTTCTCACCATCTCTTCCAAGCTTGTGGTCTTTCTCTCTTTCTGAACATCTCCGGTTCTCATCATCACCTGAACATCCTCAATCCGGAGCTCCATCGCCTTCTTCTGCACGTTGCTCTGCATCTCCGTGTGGAAATGGAAGGGAAGCAGGCCTTTCTGTCCAGCTCCTGTCCAGGACTGCTGCAGAGCGTCCATCTACAGCACACAGTAAACAGCAGTTTTAGAGCTGCACCGTGAGACAACACAGCACACAGTGATCATACAGCTGCACACAGTGGTGCTGGAAAGTCTGAGAACTCTTAAAATTCTCTGAATTTCTACAGAAATCTGATCTAAAATGTGATCAGATCTTCATCTGAGTCATAACAACAGATAAAGATAACCAGATAAATCAAATAAGACAATTATACAGTTTTCATTCGTTTATCTGATATTAAACTTGTGCTGATGTTCAGACGATGCTAAAGGCCTCAGAAACTTTGTGTCACCCACTGTGTTATGACTGCAGTCTGCTGTGCAATATTTTAAGCCTTTACTGCTAAGTAAAGTACCCCCATATGGCAACTAATACTTTCCACTTTTTCTACAACTTCAGTGGAAAAAAAGGGAATTTCTTTTCCAGAAATGAAACCAATTCAAATGTGAAATAGTTTTATATAAAAATATAGTTGATAATTATTGCCATATAGCAACAGCAGTTAAGTCTGCAATGCAAGCAGTGGAGTGAATGAATACACACTGAACGCTGCAATTTCCACATCATTACTACATTCCAAGTTCATGTTTTTTAATCAGTCTAATTATTTTTATGCTTTTCTATATGAACATTTATGCATTTATGATGGATAAATGCATAAATGTTCATACAGTGCAAAATGCAAATGCATTTTTATATGTGGTGCCATATGGCAACAAAATTCAGAGTTTTGCCCAAAATTATTCCTCTCTTTTCTAATTTTATCAATTTTGTTTCAATTTCATTTTCAATAAGAAAAGTAATGAAAATATTTTTTCCATTTATATTCCATAATTATTTTTACCAAAATTATTTACGTTTCTTGGATCACTTAAACGTCTTTATTCATCCAAGAACGTCTGTGATTGATCAGGATGCTCACAGCGCATAATATAACACTCAGAGATTGGGCTCATTAGCATATCACAACCTACAATATTAGTACCGCAGTCATAATTATGGATCGATATATCGTTCATCCCTGAGGGTTTACAGCACTTTTACTGAAGCCCAAAGTGAAGTTGTGCAGATCCTGAGCCTGAATGAATCTGAGTGAACAGCTTTAAAGAGTCTGATTGGACTGGAAGCCTCTCTGAATGTTCTCACTGACAGTAACGATGAAGAAAATCAGACGTCTCACCTTTTTAGCATATCTGCTCTCTCTCTCTCTCTCCAGAGCTCTCGGCTCGCTCAGCTGCAGATGTTTCTCCAGCTCTCGGAGCGTCTCCAGCTCCCGCCTCTCTTCCTGGCTGACCCTCACGCGCTCCATCCACTTCTTCTGCTGAGCTCTTTCTCTTTTCTCTTCCTGTCTCTCCGTCTCCCGCTGCCTCCTCCTCCTCTCCTCCAGCTTCCACTTCTCCTTGTTCAGCCTCCTCATCTCCCTCTTCATCTCTTCGAGCTCTCTCTCCATCTCTCTGCTCTCTCTCTGAAGCTGGCGGAGATGTTCCTTTTCTCTCTGCGTCTCCAGGATTCGGGTCTCGAAGCAGAAGAAGGGGATTTTGGGGAGGCAGCTGCCCCAGAACCCACAGGCTGGGGGACTGGACAGGGGGCGGAGCTTCATCTCCTCTGCTTCTTCACCTGAAGACTCACTTGGACCAGTAATGCTGGACCTGCACCAAAAAAAGAGAGAAAACTTTAGGATGGAGAAAACACGACCAAAACTTCACAGAGAGGGAGAAACTTCACAGACAGACAGAGAGAGGGAGTTAGAGAGACACAGAGAAAGAGAGAGCGAGGGAGAGAGAGAGAGAGAGAGAGAGAGAGAGAGAGAGGGAGGGATGGGAGATAGAGAAACTCAGAGAAAGAGAGAGAGAAAGAGAGAGGGAGTTTTAGACAGAGAGACAGTGAGAGAGAGAGTGAGAGAGAATGAGAGTGAGAGACAGAGAGAGAGAGAAAGGGAAAGGAGAGAGAGAGAGACAGTGAGAGAAACAAGAGAGAGACAGTGAGTGAGAGAGTGAGAGAGAATGAGTGAGAGAATGAGAGAGAGAGAGAGAGAGAGAGAGAGAGAGAAAGGGAAATGAGAGAGAGAGAGAGAGAAAGAAAGAGAGCGACAGAGAGAGAGTGTATGCATACATGAATATATGAATATATAAACATTACCGGAAGTGTCAGGTGGTCCGCGAGCCGCGGATTGGACGGTCCGAATCAGATCCGTGAAGATGTGTGAAAATGTTCTTCAGTGTTTGATCTCGTTCAGGAAAGAAACAATGTTTCTGACTTTTATCTCTCAGAGAAACGCACGCGCGTTTGAGCGTAAGTCCGAACCGCTGCTGGTTCTGTTCTGCTCTCCTTCCTGAATGAGGCTCTGATCCAAACACCTGCTCTCTTACACCTCACACTCTGCCCGTCTCTTTATGACGTCACTCTTTATGACGTCAGAGCGCCATGACGTCATAAAGAGATGTCAGGTTAAATATATTTGTGTATCTGAATCACGGAACTCTTGACAGACACGCAGTAGGACATGTAACAAAGTGATATGAAACAATAATAATATTATTATTATTAATAATAATAATAATAATAATAATTATTATTATTATAATAAAAGCACAAAATACAAAATGAATATTTTATAATATTTATTTGCCATTTGTTTTCTTTATGTCGTTTAATTCATATATTCCATAGCCATGTATAGATTATTGCAGTTCAAATTGCAGAAAAACTTGTTTTGTCTTCAAAATATGGCCTCACCCTTCACACATGACAGACCTCTTCTGTGGTGCTTGGAATTTTAGAAAATTGATTTAAAAAACAATTTTGTTGAATTGATGCTCAAGAAGGTTTAATTGATAATATAACTTATTTTATTTTAAAATCTAAATAAATTGTAACCCTAACATGTTTTTTAAGTGTATTATATCTGTAAATGCTAGGGACACAAAAATGGACGTTTCTGTAGAATGACCCACTAGTCACTGCCTCCAAAGGCAGCTCTCTTTTGGGGCAGCATTTTAACTGAAAAGGAATCTCAGCAGGCATCATATTCGGAACATCGCTTCAGAGCCATCATCCGTCATAAGCTTCACTGCACCGTACACGTTTTATCTGTTTACTCCCAGTCACTGGTTACTTTACAGTCACCTCCGACTGTAAAGGTGCATCACCTCAGTGTAAAAGGACGGCGTTGAATCGGCAGCAGCTGTTTTCCTGCATATTAATATTATTGAAATCCAAAATACATAAAAATTAATAAAAATTAATTACATGATTATGTCCAAAATCCAAATGCTCTGCATCATTGCTGACACATTGCTGCACCAAACACAGTTGTTTGTTATTGAAATTCAAAATACATAAAAATTGAATAAAAATTAGTTACGTGATTACATCCAAATATAACAACATAACAAATATCCAAAGGCTGTGCATTGTTGCTGACACTTTGCTGCAACACACACAGCTGTAGTTAGTGATGTATGTAATGTGACTGAAATATCATTGAAACTAAAAATGAATGAAATTAATAAAAATCTTACATGATTATGTCCAAAATTCAAATGCTGTGCGTTATTGCTGACACCTTGCTGCACCGTACACAGTTGTTTGTAGTGTTGTATATGATGCAGCTGAAAAATTATTGAAATTCAAAACACTTAAAAATTAATAAAAAGTAGTTACAGCAACATAACAAATATCCAAAGGCTGTGCATTGTTGCTGACACTTTGCTGCACCACACACAGCTGTTGTTAGTGATGTATGTAATGTGACTGAAATATTATTGAAATTCAAAATACATAAAAATTAATCAAAAAATTAGTTACGTGATTACATCCAAAATCCAAATGCTGTGCATCATTGCTGACACCTTGCTGCACCATAGCTGTTTTTAGTGTTGTATATAATGCAGCTGAAATATTATTGAAAATAAAATTACATAAAAATGAATCAAAAGTAGTACATTGATATATACAAAATCCAAAGGCTGTACATCATTGCTGACACCATGCACAGCTGGTTTGAGTATTGTATATAATGCAGCTGAAATATTATTGAAATTCAAAATACATAAAAATTTAGTAAGTAAGTAAGTAAGTAAAGTTTATTTATATAGCGCTTTTTACAACAGGTGTTGTCACAAAGCAGCTTTACAAGGAAATCAGCATTACAGAAAGAAATCTGGGACCAAGCCCCCATGAGCAAGCTAGTGGCGACAGTGGCAAGGAAAAACTCCCTCAGAGAAACAGGAAGAAACCTTGAGAGGAACCAAGACTCAGAAGGGGAACCCATCCTCCTCTGGTCGACACCGGATAGTAAACATTGTTAGTACAAAAACAGGGAAAACAGGTGGAGCAATGATTAATTCGATTAGTTTAGTTCATGCAGCAGCAGCGGCGGCAGGATCAGCATCAGTGGGGTCAGGTTGTGAGGGTGAGGTTTGCACGGCGTAGTACAGCATGGAGCTTGATGGTGGTCAAGCCGGTCCAGAGGGCTGGCGAGCAGTGGCACCCAATCAAGGCAGAAGAGGCAGTAGCATCAGACACACAGGATGGGCAGGTGTTGAACTCAGCAAAGGAAAGAAAGAAAGAAAGGAAAAACACACAGAGAGTCAGTTCTGTAATGGGTGATTGATTAATTTGATTAGTTTAAATGATTGATTAGTTCAAATGATTAATTTGATTAGTTTAGTTTATGCAACAGCAGCATCAGTGGGGTCAGGTTGTGAGGGTGAGGTTTGCACGGCGTAGTACAGCATGAAGCTCAATGGTGGTCAAGCCGGTCCAGAGGGCTGGCGAGCAGTGGCACCCGATCAAGGCAGAGAGGTAGCAGCATCAGAACGCACAGGATGGGCAGCTGTTCAACTCGGCAAAGAAAAGAAAGAAAGGAAAAAACACACACAGTCAGTTCTGTAATGGGTGACTGACAGAACTGAGAGTCAGTTCTGTGATGGGTGTCAGTTCTGTAATGGGTGACTGATCACAGATTAAAGTGTTAGCAGAGCAGCAGAGACTCTGGCAGGTATAGAACTGACAGGGAAAACTAATTACCAAAGGCTTGACTATACAAGTAAGTTTTTAGCTTAGACTTAAACACTGAGGCAGTGTCTGAGTCCCGAATATTAACAGGAAGACTATTCCAAAGCTGGGGGGCTTTGTATGAGAAAGCTCTCCCCCCCTGATGTAACTTTATTAATTCTAGGTACTAATAGTAAGCCAGTACCTTGTGATCTAAGTAGGCATGATGGTTCATAGTGAGAGAGAAGTTCACTCAGGTACTGAGGGGCGAGTCCGTTTACAGCTTTATAAGTCAGTAAGAGAATTTTATAATCAATGCGAAATTTAACTGGTAACCAGTGTAAGATTGATAAAACTGGGCTGATATGGTCAAACTTTCGGGTTCTAGTAAGAACTCTGGCTGCAGCGTTCTGGACAGGCTGAAGCTTGTTAAGGCTTTTGCTGGGACATCCAGCCAGCAGGGCATTACAGTAATCTAGCCTTGAAGTAATAAATGCATGAACTAACTTTTCTGCATCCTGTAGAGATAATGCATTTCTCAATTTAGCAATATTGCGGAGATGCAGGAAGGCTGTTCTAGTAATATTAGTTATGTGTGCATCGAAGGACAGATCAGGGTCTATCATGACACCAAGGTTTTTTACAGGTGAGCTTGATGCAACTGAGAAATTGTTAAGTTTAAGTGTTAAATTAGACAGTCCGTTTCTAGCCGCTTTTGGACCAAGAAGTAGAACCTCTGTTTTATCAGAGTTAAGAAGGAGAAAGTTACTCGACATCCAGTCTTTTACGTCTTTTATACAGTCTTCAATCTTGCTAAGTTTAATTTTATCGTCCGGTTTGCTTGCTAAGTATAACTGAGTGTCATCGGCATAACAGTGGAAATTTATGCCGTGTTTACTGATAATGGTGCCCAGTGGTAGCATATATAATGTGAATAATACAGGTCCTAAAACAGAGCCTTGTGGAACACCATACTTTACTTTTGCGAGGGCAGATGATTCACCGTTTATATTAACAAACTGATAGCGATCATTGAGGTAGGACCTGAACCAGGAAAGAGCTATTCCTGTTACCCCTACAAGGTTTTCTAGTCTGTCTAGTAAGATAGCGTGGTCTATGCCACACTAAGAATGCCACACTCAAATGCCGCACTAAGATCGAGGAGGACTAACAAGGACACATTTTCTTGGTCAGAGAATAGTAATAGATCATTTACAATTTTTACTAGTGCTGTCTCTGTACTATGATGTGGCCTAAAGCCAGATTGGAATTTTTCATGGATTTGATTCCTATGCAAATAGGAACTTAATTGTTTTACAACAACTTTTTCCAAGATCTTAGATATAAAGGGGAGATTCGAGATGGGTCTATAATTTGATATTTCGCAGGGATCGAGGTTGGCTTTCTTAATCAACGGTCTAATTACTGCTAGTTTGAGAGTTTTTGGGATGTATCCAAAGCTAAGAGAGGAGTTTACTATTGACAGAACAGGCTTGGTTATTTCTGACAAAATTTCCTTGAGTAAACCTGTAGGAATTGGATCTAACATACAAGTAGTTGATTTTGTGGAAGAAATGATTTTAACTAGTTCATTTTCTTGAATTAAGGTAAATGATTCCAGCCTCTCTGCAGGGATTATAGTATTCTCAAGATTGAGGCTAGCATTATGGGGAAGCAGGTTTGAGGAGTTTAATTGTATATTCTGAATTGTCTGCCTAATTTTTTCAATTTTGTCACTGAAGAAGTTCATAAAATCGTTGCTGCTATAAGCTAATGGCATCTGCGGTTCACTAACTGTTTAGTTCTCTGTTAGTTTAGAGATTGTGCTGAATAGTAATCTAGGATTATTTTTATTGTTTTCTATGAGAGAGGAGAGATAGGCTGAGCGTGCTGTAGCAAGTGCTCTTCTATAGTCTATAAGGCTCTCATTCCAGGCGGACTGAAAATTAATAAGGAATAGTTACGTGATTATATCCAAAATCCAAAGGCTGTGCATCATTGCTGACACCTTGCTGCACCATACACAGCTGTTTTTAGTGATGTATATAATGGTATTGAAATTCAAACACATAAAAATTAATAAAAAGTAGTTTCATCATTATATTCAAAATCCAAATGCTGTGCATCATTGCTGACACCTTCCTGCACCAAACAAAGTTGTTTTTAGTGATGTATATAACACCGCTTAAACTATTATTGAAATTAATAAATAAATTAAATAAATAAACAAATAAATAGTATGTGAGACAAATACATGGGTGAAGCAAATACAGTGAAAGACACTTATAACTACTACATGTGATTATTAATGCATAGCCTGTACCTGTAATATGTTGTCTGAAAATAACTGAAGTGCTACACTTTATTAAACAAGTATACAATACCTAATTAATACTATAAAACCTTTAATTAATACTACAAATACTATAAAAACTTTAAAAGTGTGAAACTATTGGCCATTTTCCTGTGGCTCATTTCTATAGTAACAGCATTTAACATAACCTATAACTGTTAACGCTCTGCAAATAAAGCCATAATGGTTTATTGTACTTTTACAGGCAAGATATGCTCAATACTGTTAGGACAAGTATGGGCAAGTACATTTTAGCTACAGGTTAATTCAAAGTCCTCTTTCAAAATTAAAGTGGTGTGTAATTCTAACCAGAATTTAGAGCAAATAAAAGAATTAATCAGATGTGTATAGGCACAGTGTTTATGGAGCTACTGTCTGTTGTTAGCATGAACTATAAAATATCTATTTAAATGCACTGAAACGATTTGTAGGAAAACAAATGTGTGCACGGATGTGGGCGCGATTTAGAAGTGCATGCTTTTTCTTCCGATTGAAAAACTTGTCTCAGTTCTAAGGTGTGCCTCACTCTCTGTGGTCGTACTGTTATGAATATGTAAGTCGTTACTGACTACCATAGTCCGATCAAATGTATTAGCGCCGAAAAGACGAACATCGAAAATAAAACTTCCTTTACCGTGGCCGCTTTGTTCCCTCAGCCAGCGCCTCTCCGCTGCTGTAACGTTAGTCCCTGAGGACAGAAGAACTCCCTGAGCATAGAATCAAATCAATATTTACAAACACAGAGTTCTACTGTACAGTGAACAGCCGATATTTTAAACTGGACCGTCTCCCGTTTTGAAGAACCAGCGCGTTTACACAGTTAGCCCGCTAGCAAAGCTAACTAACGTTAGCCTCACCGAGTTACAAACGCAGCCAGTCAGGTCGCCTTAGACAAGAAAACCGCCTACATTTTACCACAAGAACAATTTCTGGAGAGCTACAAACACAAATATGTTAAATACTTTACACAAATACAGCAAATCAATCAAAACTGTACAGTCAGAAGTCTGGAATCATTTACAGGTAATTCAGTTTGTCTGCTTGTAAAACCTTCATTAATAAACACAGAGAAATCTTCGGTGTTTGTGCAGAAAGCAGGAAGAGTAAGCTAGTTAACTACTCTTGAACCCCCTTCAGCTCTCCTTTCCAAGCCAAACCCCCAAAACACATGAAAACGCACAACAAAAAAGTCCTAATTTTACAGTAAATAACTTACATTTTTATAGCAGGTTAGCTGGGAGCTAACGCGCTAACCGCGCTAGCTCCGAGCTAAAGTGCTAACCGCGAGCTAACGTTAGCTAAGTACTCTGAACATTTAACCTCTTCATCTCCTTGAGACCACGAGTGGTTCCAAAACGCACTTCGTCATATTCTTCATAACCTTCATATTTCATAAGCTACATTCAAAAGGTGGGGGTCGTATGAGAGCTGTAACTGTCCTCTATCCAGTCAAACAGATGGGTGATGTAATTTTAAACCCTTATAATAAAAGAAGCTGAACTCACAATTTTTTTTCTACTGCAAGTTGACCCAGTTTTCCACAAATCTGAGCTATAAACTATAAACAGATGGCGTCTCTTCAGTGATCTGCTCTGTAAAAAATATTTTTATAAAATAATACAAACAGCGTCTAAGATTTTTGGCTTTCAGCAGTAAATTGTAAGCATATAGCAATATGTGTGATCATAAAACACATGTTCTGTTAATTTGAGGGGAGCTTTAACAAACAAATAAATAAATAAATAAAATAAAAATGTACATTTATTTCATGCAGTTACTGAATAATTTGTCTTGCATGTAAATTCAGATGGACCAACCAAAATATACCCTGGGGAATAAGAGGAGTAGCTGGTGCTTTTCAAGTGTTGTGCCATAATGGTGTAGTGCCTTAGTTCACGTTAGCGTGCTGTATTGACAGCAGTGTTAAGTCCTCTCATCTGCACACATCACCCTTCTGTGTAGGTCAGTAGAACTAGAAGAAAACAGTTTAAAACCGGTGCTGTGGTTGTTCACCTGAGGTGATGTTTCCTGGTTCATATGAAGGTTTACTGTCAGAAGAGCTTTACATTAGTTTGGCCTGTAAGTAGCTTCGTTTTGATTGTGTGTTTCTTAATGTTTGTTAGAAACGTTTCTTGCTGATTACAGATCTTGCAGTTGTGGAGTTCTTATTATTATTTATCAGTTTCTATAGTAAAACCCATCTATTCCAGACAGGCTGTTATCGGAGTTCTGTGACTGCTTACAGTGGAACAACTTCCAAAGTGACAGAGCTCATTCAGTCTGCAGATGGAAATGCTGATTGTGCTATTATTCCAGATTGTCAGGTAAAGAGGTTTGTTGTACAATTTCACACAACAAACTGTTATATCTGGAAATGTGTTAAAGAAGTAAATGACTGCTGAATGCTTTTCCTCTTTCTTCAGGCATCAGGAAGTGGACGGGTTTTGACCGATGCAGAATTTTAGGAATGTTTATTGATGGTAAGTTTTTAGTTTAGAACAAGTATTTTGAAAACTTTATTATTATTATTATTATTAGTATTATTATTATTATTATTATTACTAAGGTCACCGAATAAATGACACCATCCAGTATTTTAAATACAATTTTGAGCAAAAATCCTGCAGTAGTCATAGTACTTATTGCATACAGAATCAGAAATGCTGTTTATCAAGTTAAACTGCGAAACAGTGTCTCATACACAGTTGGCTTGATCTCAGGAATGTATGTATTTTATAAAGACGTACTGAATGGGTTGACACCTAAACTTCAGGGACATACACAACTGTTTTTATTCTACATGCTGCTTAATTTTTTCATACATTTTTATCATCTCTCATTTAAAATAAAATGTCTGAAAAATTACATTCTATCCCACTTGAACAGGAAGATGTCAGATTTAGCCTGCATTTCAGTGGCCTCTTCACTTGGCCCAAGAATTTTTCATCTGCCATGGTTTAAAATTCATGCAGAAATATTGTGAAAAATGTATTTAAGAATGTGGAAAAGACAGCACTCTTTGACTCAAGGCAGATGGTCTGTGGAATGACACACAAAGACTGCAGATAATGACCTGTCACAAAGATGAAGCCTTTTTCCTTCATTCATTTACTGTTTTTATTTATTTAACCAAAATCAACATGGAGTTTTCACTCTGAAATGGCTTTTGGCAACACCTATTGATTATTGAGTAGAAATATTACGCATATTATGCATGTTCTGCAATAAATGAGTGAGGCATCCTGCACGGCCACATCTGGGCTGGGGACCAAGGTGGGTAGTCAGCCATAACTGTGTGCCATATATGAGCCAGATCTGGCCCACACCTTTTAAATATGTACACATTACAGTATACGGGCTAGAGCTGGAGCACATCCATTAGTTTTACTGATTTTACAGTGTGTGGGCCTCATCTGGGCCACATCCATTAGTTCTTCTCATTTTACAGTATATGGGCCAGATCTGGGTTGGGGACCCAGCCAGAACTGGGCCAGAACTAAACCAAGGATGTGGCCCACAAGATAGATTTTGCTAACTGGGTTATTGCTTTTATAAACCGGCGACCAACATAAAATATATTAAAATGCACAATGTTTTAGAGAATTATTTAAGATATTTATTAATAATAACCGACATAAACAAGTATTCCGGCAAAAAATATAGTTCCTTAACAATGTGGTATCGTTGCTAAGCAACCACTGACCGCTGAATGAGGAGAAGAACGTTTGGTTGCGGATCACTATAAACTGCAGACATTTCATGATTTTTAAAACTTTTTTCGTATAACAGTGAACATATGATAACACAACACTGTCTAATGCAAAACCTTCAGTTTATAAGTACTCTTTGGTCACCAAATTACCACCGCGAGTCTTCTGTCAGTCTGACGATGCCACTTTTCTCAGGTTGGGGCTGAATCTGAAACGGCTCCCTGCTCCCTACATAGTGCACTGCGTAGGAATTTAAATACTGATTCCTGCAGCCCAACAATGCAAAATATCGCTAAAAATGGTAATTAGGGATCCATCCACATTCATACTCGACAAGCAGTGCAGTATCTGACAGCAGAATCTAGAATGTCTAAACTTAATGTTATACAGGTCACTATTTAGCTAGGGAGTAAGGAGCCATTTGGGGTTCAGCCTGGGTTTGATGCTACTTCTGACTGAAACATGGACATTTGAAGCATGTAAGCCATTCAGGTGACATTCTTCAGACTTTTATATTGCTGTTTTTCAGTAAATCATAATCATCATCAAACCACACACAGTCATTCATTCACCATGCTGTCCGAATAGCTCCTTCTGTAAGATCAATGCGGTGGGGCTGGGGGGGGGTTGTATTTAGCATGGCACCTCAGACCATAAACACATTTCAGCAGCCGGTCAAAGCAGCCACAGTGCCTCAGCAGCTTAATGAAGATGCCTGCAGGGAGGCTATATCATTTCTTGTTTACTGTCCCGATGAAGCAAGTGTGTTTCAGAAGATGATGACCTTGCAGCATCGCCGGGCCTGGTGCATGACCCACAGCGAACTACAGATGTTTAAAGGACGTTCCCATGTTGTGTCCTTTTAAACTCCAGTGTTTACTTGGGTTTGACATAAGCAGTTAACAGTGCATTGACCATTGGCTTCATGTATTTGCAACAGCTAAATCAAGACTTGAAGTCCAGCACAAAGCGATCTTCATCCACACGACCGAACTGCATCACCTCCTCATCCGCTGTGGAGACACAGAGAGACTCATCAGACCCCCAGCATGAGAGAGAAAGACCACCAAGACAGAAAGAGAGCAAAACGGCTAGAGCAGAGGGAGAGAGAGAGATGGATAGAGAGAGAGAAAGGGAGGGAAGATAAAGACACAGTCAGAGAAAAACATCCATCCAAACACAGACACGCTGAGAGAAAACGCTGCTGAACTCACGACTCGCAGGACAGGCGAGCTGGAAGTTCTTCACTGAACCCTTTTTGACCCGTCCATTGAAGTCCATCACATACGCTTCCTTCTCCTTGCTCCACGTCGGCTCTTTAGTCTCCAGCTTAATCAGATTTGGCCCCTGATTATTACTCTTCATTTCCTTTAATAAAGAGCCCTTTAACGAGAAATAAACACAGAGATAATAAGAAACAATCTTTTAAGACAGATCAGGTAACAGCACTACAAATTTTGGTTGAAAACTCTTAAGAAAGCCCTGATCAATAATGTAGTAATATTTTAGTGATGATGTAATATAGAGGTGCCCGAAACAGAGGGGCTACAGTCTGCAACTGTAACGATACAAAGTCACCCATACGGTAAGTGTTTCTGATAAAATGGCCCTGAGAGCTGTGAGAGGACGAGTGGGCGTGTGAGAATGATAATCTGTGCTGCTGTAGATCAAACTTACCTCACCAAAACTAACACGCTGAGAGTTCCCGTCCATGCTGGGAATGACGGCGGACATCTGCTGTGACTTTATGAACCCAAACACAGACTCCTAAAAGAGACAACACACAACATGTGTCCAGTCATCTGTGGCACTGGTCAGAAGCCAATACAAATGTATATTTATGTGTGGCCGACAGAGGGCACTGCAGCGCTGCAAACACCCCAGAAGTAAGTGTTCCTCATAGACTTGCATTGATTTTCTCTGATTTTTAAATGTCTATTTCTTTAAGCTCTACATCAGAATAAAATGTATGTTTTGACTTTTAATATGATAAAATATGTTCTTTTGAAAAGTCTTTGTCGTATTCAGTTTGTATCATTCCAAGAATGCTCATTTTCATTAGCGTCTCTATGGGAATCGTTACGTACGTTAGCACCAAGCTAACTGAGGTGCACTTTCACTTCTCCTCACTGATTTAATAGATGTGAGGATATTTGAACCGGTGAGAAACACATGTAACATATTCTTCATTCTGTTTACCTGTTTTTAGTGAAATCTTCAGAAAATATTTCATCTTAAAGTGTAAAACTGTGTTACTGATGGAGCTTCTTAGCCTGTTAGCTATCTGAGCTATCGACTGAGCTAAAACCTAAACTACACTCTTACACAGAGTCTGTTTAGTGAGATTTCACACATTTTACTGCATATATATGCAGTTTTTGGCTGTAATCCTTAGTTACCTACATTCACTGCAGTTCAAGGTTTCACATTCTGTCCCAATTCAGTATGAAAATATTAAGATTTTTTTTCATATCTGAAGTAAGCTATATGAATTGGGTTAGGTTATATTACGTTATATTAGTTATAAAATAAAACTTTTACATGTTTACTTATACATGAAATGTTTCCCCACTGATCATAAACCAGATATTGTTGCAGGAAAAACACAGCACACCTCAGAATTATTGTGCTATCTTCAAATTTCTGAGCATGTTTATGGGTCAGTGACAAGTAAGGCTGTTCTAAATGACAATTTTTAAATGTCTTTCATTTTTCATGTTCATTCATTTTTATTTCTGCATATAAATATATTTACATTTATATTTGTGTTCATATTCTATATTGAATATAGTGAGTGTTATCAAATCTTTTAATTGTCTGTTTGTGCCGGTCTGGTTGCTCCATCTGACTGACTGGTTGAGCCGCCTGACTTTTCAGACCAACTTCAAATCAAACAGGCATCTACTTAGAAACCTTTGTCCCTCAAATTGAGTCTTTTGTTTTCAGTGAGTTGAGCTCTTTTAAAGTTGCCAAAAATTTTGCAACATGGTTTTGATTTTGAAGTTCAAACTTAAAAACCATACCAGACTTTATTTCTTTATTTAACCTAATTACCTTTTTCGATAGTTTAATTGTTTAATCAACATATATTGTTAATCGGCTGCTCCACTATTTTTAGACTTTTGGAAGCTAAAAAAAAACGAAGACGAATTTTATATGGATGAACTGGCGAAAATAACGTGTTGTTGAATAACGTGACGTATGACATATTTATTAAATTCTTTTTTTGGAAAATAATGGACTTGGACATGAAAAATGCATGTCATTTCAATGACCCTTAGATTTCATTTTACAGTGCAGAGGGAGAACCAATACAGCGGCCGAGTGTGTGTTACAGTGATATTATCAGCAGTGTAGTTCTTCATAGATATCTACAGTGAGACTGTATATATCTATGAACTGATGAATAAACTGACACGCAAAATGAATCGTATTTGAAAACTGATAACCAAATCTCGCTAATTAAGCAGATATTTCAAATCTGTTTCAAATAAACAGAAACTCATCACTTAACATATAATAACACTTCCACATTTTTACCATGTCCTAACTTTATGTTGTTCTCCAAATTCTGTAAGCTGTGAATAAAGTTTTGGTGTCTAGTTTAGAGCATTTCAGTCTACACAGTCTGTTTACATGGACATCGCTTTTTCTGCAGTTATCTGATTATTGAAATGGTCATGTAAACAGTATATTAAGGAATCTGATGAAGAGGCTGGATTTCAGCTCAGTAATCAGATTTCTCAGTGCATGTAAACTCTTACTCTGATTTCTTTCGGAAGACATGAACGGATGTTAAAAAAAGCCGCAGCGTGAAGTTTGAGATTTATGTAATGTTTACGTCACGTCTTCTTCTGTGAGTTTATTGGCTGGTTGCAAAGCAGAAATCTGATTACTGTCTGACTCATGTAGACCTGGAGTTTTCCCATTATCTGATTACTCAAGTGCATGTAAACACGTTGATCTGATTACTGAAAAAATCTGATTATTAAGTGCATGTAAACACACTAACAGTTATTATTATGATAAGTGTCCCCAAACTTTTGGGTGGTAGTGTATTATCCTCATTAGACGAGAAAGTGTAATTAATGTTATTGTTATTGCGATACTGGAACTACAGAAGATAATTTAACACCTTGTTTTTTTGAGTGCTCACTGACATTACATTCATCTACCCTGTAAGTGTCTCTGAGCATCTGCTAAATAATGTCAAATATTTACATAAAATAATGGAAATGTTTACAGTAATTGTCTGATTTAGCTGTTGATCAATGATTCATCCTGAGTTCTAACCTGTCTTGCACTCTCTACACTTCATATATGGATTACAGTGTAAATGTGTTTTAAAATGCAGTAAACTCTAAATGATCTGTTATCAGTGTCGGTATTGATATCAGACACAACGAGATGTCAGTTTGGTTTAATCGTTCTCGTCCCAGAAGTTCTATATCAGTGCATCCCTAAAGCAGAGTGAAGTAGTTTGTGATGCTGTTTGTATCTCTGACCTTTTCATCGTCCTCAAGCTCCTGGAACAGGTGGTAGGTGGGGCCGCTCTTGTCCATCCTGTCACGCTGGATGCAGCACTGGACCATAGATCCCCTCGGAAACGACCGCAGCACAAATTCCTTTAGGTCGTCCGCCTGGCTGCTCGTTTCTTCCTCAGCCACATCCTCCTCCTCAGTGGGGAGTTTGGAGCCATCAGTGAAGATCTGAGTGTCTTTCTGTGGCTCACTGAAAGCCTGAGGCTGTAGGCTGGGTTCCTCAGGACTGGCGTTGATCTCCTGCTCCTCCATGTTGTCTTTGGTGGAGTCAGCTGTGGAGGGAGTGAAAGCTCTAGGTTCCTCCTCAAGTGCAGAGGTGGAAGCTCTAGGTTCCTCCTCAAGTTTTGCGCAGGGGTGGAGGGGCTTGACACTGATGAGCAGGCCTTCTCCATTCGGAGAAACTGGCCAGCTCAAACTCTGGAGATTATCTTGCTTGTTCTCCAGGTCAGTGTTTGCTTCTTTCTTTTCTTCTCTGGGGATCTTGTTTCTTCTTCTTCTAGCTCCAAAGCCCCTGCGCTGAGCTACATCCTCTGATGTAAACCAGTTCTGACCTGGAGCGAACATTCTTCTCAGCCGCTCTCTCTTCCGCTGCTGCTCTCTGTCCATGTGCTCCTGCCTGGCTCTCTGCATCTTCAGTTCCCTTTCTCTACCATCTTTCTGATCTTCCTCTCTCTGCTTTTCAGGCTGCTGGAGCAGATCTTCATATCTCTGCTTCACAGGTTCCTGGAGCAGATGTTCCTCTTTCTGCTTCACAGGTTCCTGGAGCAGAAATTTAATACCTCTGCTTCACAGGTTCCTGGAGCAGATCTTCCTCTTTCTGCTTCACAGGTTCCTGGAGCAGATCTTCTTCTCTCTGCTTCACAGGTTCCTGGAGCAGATCTTCATATTTCAGCTTCACAGGTTCCTGGAGCAGATCTTCTTCTCTCTGCTTCACAGGTTCCTGGAGCAGATCTTCCTCTTTTTGCTTCACAGGTTCCTGGTCCAGATGTTCCTCTCTTGGCTTCTTCTCTTCTGTCTCTCATCTTTCCTTCCCTTCTCTCCATCTCTTCCTCTTCATTTTGTCCACCTCGGTCATTTTTCTCTCTTTTTCCACCTCAAACACCATCTCTATATTAGACTGCTTTTCTTTCTTTGCTTCCTTCTGTCTTTATTTTTCTCATCATTGCTTTCCATCTGTCTTCCTCTCTCTGTCGTTCTTCCTGTGACAGTCTCTCCTTCATCTTCTCAAGCTCCATTTCTGTCTTTCTCTCCATCCCTCGCTGCACACCAAGCTCTGGAAGCCACTCCTCCTCGCTGCTGTTCTCCATGGAGGCCATTCTCTGCCTCAGCTCCTCCAGCTCTCTCTCCAGTTCCTCCTCTCTCTCTCTCCATCTCAGATCTTCCATCTGTCTCTCTTTCTGGATTCTCTGAAGGAGGAGCAAGCTTTCTCTTCCCGCATCCGTTCTGTCCACATCTCTCTGAGCTCTCCGGAACGCTTTCCTTCTCATGTTCTCCAACTCCCGTTCCAGCTCCTCCTCTTGCTCTTTGAACTGGAGAATCTTAGCGGCGTTCCTTCTCACCATCTCTCCAAGCTTGTGGTCTTTCTCTCTTTCTGAACATCTCCGGGTCCCATCATCACCTGAATGTCCTTGATCCGGAGCTCCATCGCCTTCTTCTGCAGGTTTCTCTGCAGCTCCATGTGGGAATGGAAGGGAAGCAGGCCTTTCTGTCCAGCTCCTGTCCAGGGCTGCTGCAGAGAGTCCAGCTACAGCACATAGTAAACAGCAGTTTTAGAGCCGCACAGTGAGACAACACAGCACACAGTGATCATACAGCGGCACACAGTGGTGCTGGAAAGTCTGAGGACTCTTAAAATTCTCTGAATTTCTACAGAAATCTGATCTAAAATGTGAGGTTATCTTTATCTGTGTCATAACAACAGATAAAGATAACCAGATTAAACAAATAACACAATTATATAGTTTTTAATTTGTTTCTCTGAGATTAAACTTGTGCTGATGTTCAGACGATGCTAAAGGCCTCAGAAACTTTCTGTCACCCACTGTGTTACGACTGCAGTCTGCTGTGCAATATTTTAAGCCTTTACTGCAAGTTGTTCCCATATGGCAACAAATACTTTTCACTTTTTTCCACAACTTCGATTGAAAAAAAGGGAATTTCTTATTCAGAAATGAAACCAATTCAAATGTGAAATAGTTTTATATAAAAACATAATAGATAATTGTTGCCATATGGCAACAGCCATCCAATCTTCAGCATACAGCGGAGTGAATGAATACACACTGGACGCTGCAATTTTCACATCATTACTACCAACCCTAACCAAGGTCATTCTTTTTAATCAGTCTAATTATTTTTATGTTCCTTTGTATGAACATTTATGCATTTATGATTGTTATGCTCATGTTGCTCCCACTGTGTGCAGATTGCAGATCCATTTTTATATGCTGCTGCCATATGGCAACAAAATTCAGGGTATTGCCCAAAATTATTCCCCTCTTTTCTAATTTTATCAATGTTGTTTCAATTTCATTTTCAATAAGAAAAGTAATGAAAATATTTTTTCCATTTATATTCCATAATTATTTTTACCAAAATGCTTTCAGTTTCTTTGCACTTGAATGTTTTTATACGTCTGTGATTGGTCAGGATGCTCACAGCACATAATAAAACACTCAGGGATTGGCTACAGGCTCATTAGCATATCACAACCTGCAATATTAGTACCTCAGTAATAATTATCAATCGATATATTGTTCATCCCTGAGGGTTTACAGCACTTTTACTGAAGCCCAAAGTGAAGCTGTGCAGATCCTGAGCCTGAATGAATCTGAGTGAACAGCTTTAAAGAGTCTGATTGGACTGGAAGCCTCTCTGAATGTTCTCACTGACAGTAACGATGAAGATCGGACGTCTCACCTTTTTAGCATATCTGCTCTCTCTCTCTCTCTCCAGAGCTCTCAGCTCACTCAGCTGCAGCTGTTTCTCCAGCTCTCGGAGCGTCTCCAGCTCTCGCCTCTCTTCCTGGCTGACCCTCACGCGCTCCATCCACTTCTTCTGCTGAGCTCTTTCTCTTTTCTCTTCCTGTCTCTCCATCTCCCGCTGCCTCCTCCTCCTCCTCTCCTCCAGCTTCCACTTCTCCTTGTTCAGGCTCCTCATCTCCCTCTTCATCTCTTCCAGCTCTCTCTCCATCTCTCTGCTCTCTCTCTGAAGCTGGCGGAGATGTTCCTTCTCTCTCTGCGTCTCCAGGATTCGGGTCTCGAAGCAGAAGAAGGGGATCTTAGGGAGGCAGCTGCCCCAGAACCTGCAGGCTGGGGGACTGGACAGGGGTGGAGTTTCATCTGCTTTGCTTCTTCACCTGAAGACTCACCTGGACCAGTAATGCTGGACCTGCACCAAAAAAAAGAGAAAACTTTAGGATGGAGAAACAAACACAACCAAAACTTCACATAGAGAGAGAGAGAGAGAGAGAGAGAGAGAGAGAGAGAGAGAGAGGGAGTTAAAGAGACACAGAGAAAGAGAGAGAGAGGGAGAGGGGGGCTGAGAGAGAGGGAGGGAGAGAGAGAGAGAGAGGGAGAAGGGGGAAGAGATAGAGACAGAGAGAGGGAGAGGCGGGCTGAGAGAGAGGGAGGGAGAGAGAGAGAGGGAGATAGAGAGACACAGAGAGAGAGGAAGATAGAGAGGGGCAGAGAGAGAGAGGGAGATAGAGACGGGCAGAGAGAGAGAGGGAGATACAGAGACAGAAAAAGAGAGAGAGGAAGATTTAGACAGAGTGAGTGAGAGGGAGAGAGATAAAGTGAGAGAACAGAGAGAAACAGAAGATGCTGAGAGTGTGTGTGTGAAAGAGACATAGACAGAGAGAGAGAGAGGGAGAGAGAGAGGGAGAGGAAAAAGAGACAGTGAGAGAAACAAAAGAGAGGGAGCAAAGAACGAGAAGAAAGAGAGAGAGAGTGAGTGGGAGAGCGACAGAGAGAGAGAGTGTATGAATATATGAATATATAAACATTACCGGAAGTGTCAGGTGGTCCGCGAGCCGCGGATTTGACGGTCCGAATCAGATCCGCGCGACTCAGATGGAGCAGAAATTGTTTGAAGATGTGTGAAAATGTTCTTCAGTGTTTGATCTTGTTCAGGAAAGATACGTTTCTGACTTTTGTCTCTCAGAGAAACATACGCGCGTTTGAGCGCCAGTCCGTAAATAAATGTGCAGCACATTATATGAAGGTTTATGTTGACACTAACAATTTAATGTTTTTCCTTTGTACTTTTAAGGGGAATCTGACTAGTTTTAAATTTTTGTGTACTTTTACATTAAAACTCTTTAATTCTGAATACGAATTTAGCAAACATTGTTCCTTACATCAAACATAGTGCATAGTCTTTTTTTTTAGAAAGAGTACAAAGCTACACTGCTTTTTTTTAACTATCAGGCATGTTTGTGGCTCTGGCCACACCCACTCAGTGATGTCACAGTGAGTAAAAGCACATACACTAATGAATCTGACAAAAGTAAAATGAGAAAAGACAAAGTCAGGAAAACGTTCAGCATTACGACAGTCCAGGCAGGAAGTAGTAGAAGTGAGAATGATGAGCTTTCAGTCTTTTCAACGGGCTTGAAAGTCTCAACCTGAAGAGAAGCAGTGAAGCAGAAACTTCCTGCCATGTGATTTAGTGAGGACTTACTATCAGTTCCTGCTTAGTGATGGTAAAACCTGATTACCAGTGAGGACATTGCTGAAAAAACAATGACCGCTGCACAATAAGAGGTTAAGAGTGGGTTAATATTAATAAATTCTAATGTATTTTTAAAATAGTTTCTATTGATTGTGTTACATTAAACTGGAATAGACCTTTATCTGCTGTTCAGATGCTTTGATTTCCACATTTCAGAAACTGTGCGAGTAAAAAATATAGGTACTTTTGCTATAATGCTTGATTCAAGTTAAATGAAGTTGATCCACAGTGTTTTACAGAGAAAATGGTGAACAGAGATGAGAAAAACACACATCCTTACAACTCAACCTCCCCACAATCCACTCACCACATTTAGAAACACACTCATATGGCAAACAACCAGCTGAAAGAGTTTGTTATTATGTTTTCTGATCAGAATGTGAATTTGTTGTGTGTATAGAAATCATATGGTCATATAAATGCCTTGAGGAAGAGTGTGTGAGAGAAAAATACAGTGACACTGTATTTTTGAAAGTCACACTGAGGCGTACACTACACCGAGTCACTGAACTACAAAAACAGTACATGGAGGAAAAGGTCTGAAAGGACTCGAATGTATCCCAGCATGCAATGGGTGGAAAGCAGGGAAATGGTCCGTCACAGAGCTAACAGCACACTTGCATTCAAACGTAAGGGAAATTTAGAGTCCTCAGTTCATCAAATGTGCATGTTTTGCAAAAAGAGAACATGCAGAAAGAACCAGGGCTGAGGATGAACCCAGGAGCCTATCCCAGGGTTCATTGGGCGGATGGTAGGAAACACACTGGACAGGCTGCCAGTCCTTCACAGGGCAGACACACATTGACACCCAGGGCCAGTTTAGTATCTCCAGTTGGCCTGGCTACATGTCTTTGGACTGTGGGAGGGAGAACATGCAAACTCCACACAGAAAGGACCCTGGTCACCCGGCCGGGGAATTGAACCCAGGCCCTTCTTGCTGCGAGGCAACCCCATGCTGCCAGCTCAGAAACTTATCAAAAATTAATGAATGAATAACAGGTGTCTAGATCAAGCACATCGGCAGGTTTCAAAGATCCACCTCCTGAGGAATATGTATATATGGAATACCTTTTCCTGTGTTTGTAATTTTTTCAACTGGGCCCACCTGATTTCTGAGCTACTGCAACCATTCATGCACTCCGCATGTTTATTCCCAGTTGAAGCGAAATAAATATTTAGTGAGTTCAGACCAGGCCTTCAACATGATGGTGGTAGTATGAGGGAAGACTGATTGAGGGAGGGGAGAACTCTGAGAACTTGGGCTGGAGTTGTGGGCAGCTTCTGCCTGTAGCTAGAAGGCCAGACCCCACCCCCCCTCATAGCTGTAGCAGGACTGAGGAACAGGGAGGAGACGGGGTGGCGGTGGGGATTGCGAACACTTCGTCACGGGAAGGTGTAGATGTGAATTTATAGGGCGTTGGATTGGAAGGAGGAGGGGTTTCAGCCATGCTCCTCCCCCCAAACTTCAGTTATCACATAACTACATTTATGTTTGAGACCCTTAATTCCACTGTGGTTATTTTGTTATTTGATTTTATGATTAGTTTGTGAAATTATAAGCTATTTCTTGATTTTTCCACTGACAATAACAGAACCAACAATGAAAAATTATTCATTTTCCCGTTTTCAATACTGGTTGTTCCTTATGAAATTAGTATCCTAGGCATTCTCATACTAACAGTGACACTGACATCGTGTGTGGGCGTAAGGAATGATGAAAGACATAACAGAGGAATGTGTGAGAGGGTTTGAGTGTGTTAAAGTTAAAGTTAAGGAAAGAATTTACTTTCAGTTTGTGCTGAAAGTATTTAGTTCAGTGCAGCACTGGATTACAGACAAAGACCAGAGACCTCAAACAAGCTCACACCATGGAGGAAACCTTTCCTTTCCATTTTCCATTATCAGCCTGCCTGCTCTCTCTGCTCAGTACACTGTTTTTCCTGTTGGACGTGGCGCTGGACGTGTGGGCCATCATGTCGCTGTATCAGGATGGGCAGTATGTTTATATGGGAGTGTTGATAGCTCTGCTGCTCTGCTCTTCTATCCTAGTTCATGTTTTCAGCTGGATCTGGTACTCGGACCCTGAAACCAGCACAGGCAAATTTGCGAGCATAGACAAATTTGCGAGGGAGTACGGTTTAATAGGACCACTGCACGTCGTTCAGCTGGGACTGTTCCTCAGGTATGGACAGATTTTGTAGCTTCCTGTAGAATTAGTAGTTTTCACAGTCTGGCAGAATCGCTGTGAAGTGATTTTAATTCTGTATAAATCTGGAGTCTGTGCAGTTTTTACAGTCAAACAGTCAGAACTGTGGAGTGAATGGCTTTCTGTAACCGGCTGAACCCAGATCTCAGTAATAGTCCACCTAATATTAGCAGAATAACAAAACCTGCTAGTAGACACAGCCATGCAGCATGTTGTCATTGTCATTAAGTGTGTCCACGGGCATAACTCTAATGCCACCACCCAGGCTGTGGGAATTTGGGGAAATTACAAAGATACTTTATTCTCTACAAGACAGCCAATCAGATCTCACTCATTACATTATACATGGAAAAGAATGGAAAGTAACTTATGAACAGTTTAAAAGGTGTTTTGCTGGGGCGGCTGGGTGGGTTCCATTACTTACTTTACTTAAGAATGGATCTAGGCTCATTTTCTAGACAGTCTAAGATGCCACTGACAGACTGTATGTTGTAAAACTGGTTTGGTCTGTAAAGAACCTGAAGCTGTACTAATACAGTGATCACATCTGATATTGAAAATTATGGAGAGCAGAAGTGTTTTTACTCACTGAGGTATCCAAGAAATCCCTTAATGTTATTTAGTCCCAGTGTCAAGAAAAAAACAAGTAAAAGATAACTGAAAGGAAAAATTAAATTACAAAAAGAAACATTTAAATGCACTGAAATTTCAATTTTTACCACAATTTTATTATTTTGGTACTGGTAACTATTTTTAAAACATACACTGAATATACTGGAGGGACTTTTTACACAGTCCTGAATATACAGATGAAAACAAACCATGAAGCTTACATAAAGACACCGATCAGCCATAACATTAAAAGCACCTCCTTGTTTCTACACTCATTGTCCTATGATAACCACTATGGTGGTGAGCAAAAATGCCTGACTCTCTACATCCAAATTAATCCAAGGTCCTCAGAAAGATCCACAAACAAAAAAAAAAAACACTATTTATTTCAAATGACAGAAGAATAGAACGTTTAGACGCTCAAAGCTTAAATGAAAATAAGAAGTCCAAACATAAACTAAGGATTATCTTAAACAAAGCAGGAGCAGTGTTTGTAGCAGCCTGGACTTGAGGAAGTGTGATGGTCTCTTCCTGCTCTGACCACACTCTCCAGGTAGCATCACCCGCCTCATTCTGCCAGTGGCTCATCTAGTCCAGCCACTAGATGGGGTTAACTCAAACAAAAAAAAAAGGAGCATGAGACACATACAAACCCAGATACACATCCGGCTCATAAATGTTTTACGCTTGAAATAAAACATTTGCATAACAGTATTAGAGGAACCAGTAAAGTATTACAGAGAAAAAATAATTACATTACATTTTCCTTGATCCGGTCTTCTTCTAACAGTAGGGAGAGCTTTGTAATTAGCCGCTCTATAATGGCTGTTTTTGTCTTGAGCTTAACTCAAAAAACCAGGCCATGCACTCATCAACACCCATCCAGCTCTTTATTTCCTGTCATTTCAATATATGAGACACATGCAAACCCAAATAACAATTTTTGCTCCTACCGTCCATTTTATCAGCTCCACTGACTATACAAGAGCACCCTGTAGTTCTACAATTACAGACTGTAGTCCATCTGTTTCTCTACATACTTTGTTAGCCCCCTTTTACCCTGTTCTTCAGTGGTCAGGACCCCCACAGGACCCCCACAAAGCACCACTATTTGGGTGGTGGATCATTCTCAGCACTGCAGTAACGTGGTGGTGGTGTGTTAGTGTGTTGTGCTGGTGCGAGTGGATCAGACACCGCAGTGCTGTGTCACTCCTACCTTGTTGGTCCACCTTGTAGATGCAAAGTCAGAGACAATAGCTCATTCATTGCTGCACAGTTTGTGTTGGTCATCCTCTAGTCCTTCATCAGTGGTCACAGGATGCTGTTGGCTGGATATTTTTGGTTAGTGGACTATTCTCAGTCCAGCAGTGACACTGAGGTGTTTAAAAACTCCAGCAACACTGCTGTGTCTGATCCACTCAGACCAGCGCGACACACACTAACACACCACCACCACATCAGTGTTACTGCAGTGCTGAGAATGATCCACCACCCAAATAGTACCTGCTCTGTGAGGGTCCATGGGGTTCCTGACCACTGAAGAACAGTGTAAAAGGGGGCTAACAAAGTATGCAGAGAAACAGATGGACTACAGTCTGTAACTGTAGAACTACAAAGTGCACCTATATAGTAAGTGGAGCTGATAAAATGGAAAAGTGAAGACAGTTGCAATCTACTGATTGTAGATCTGTTTTGTATTCATTCATTCATTCATTTCCATGTAGGTTTGCCAGTTTGGTAGAAATCTCCATCTGCAAAATTATACAAAGAAGCGACCGCTCCCAAGAAGGAGTAGCTGTGTTTCTGAAGCACGACCTCAGCGTGCTGCGGCTGTTTGAGATGTTTTCTGAAAGCGTCCCGCAGCTTGTTCTGATGATCACGTTCACCATGCAGAAGCAGGGGCTGCAGCTTTTTACAGGTCAGATCAACTTCTAAAATTCCTCCCTGTTAAAGAACTCACACGTCCATGTTCCATCCATACATGCAGTCTTTCTCTAGCAGAACGCTTTACAGAATGCGGATCCCAGTCGTTTTATTTCTGGTTACTTTTTATTTAGTTTTTTATTTAGTTTCAGTTTTAATTTTTAGCATTATGGTAAAAGCTGTGATAGTAGGTATTTGACAAGGGCAGGATTAACAGTTTAAAATCTACAGTTTCTAAATTGTTGTGCATTGTTAGTTTAATTTATTACAGACCAAAATACAGTTACTATACACTGTATACATCGACAAGCATTTAATGCATCAAAGCAATAGACTCAGAGATGCAGAAAGTGTGTCACTTTTAGCTTTTTAGCTTTTAGCATTACTTATACATTACTCCATTCCCTCCATTCAGCTCTATTTGGTTTTTGTTTGTGTTGTTGTGGACATTGCAGTTTTAGTTTACTGCTAGTTTTCATAGTAATAGTTTTGGTGAACGATAATAGCCCTGTCAACCTAATAAGAAATTGTAACACACAACAAAATATGTACTTTAGTAGGATATTAATAAGCAATTATTCCAAATAATATGTATTTTGTTTACAAGTGAATGGCCACACTTTTAGGATAGATCGGGTGTAGGTTTTTTGGGGGTTTTAGGGATAAACATCTGATGGATTGTGATATAGTATAGTGAGTAACACCTCTGCCTTCTATGCTGTAGACTGGGGTTCAATTCCCCACCCGGGTAAGCACCCTACACTATATCCTATATAGTCCTTGGGCAAGACTCCTAACACTCCCTCGCCTACTTGTGTAAAATGATCAAATTGTAAGTTGCTCTGGATAACAGCGTCTGGCAAATGCTGTAAATGTAAATGATTGGCTTCAGCTGGCTGGCTAGCTAACGTAACATTACAGCTTACGCCACCAGCTACTGTATGTGGGTGAAGTTACTGCCAACATTCTCCTCTTCGTACTTGCCAGAGATACAGACATTAAGGCAAAACTGCAAGCGCTACGTTGCCTTGAGTTACATTAGTAAAGTCAAGCATAAAACATAGAGCTGTTATAGGAACAAAATCTCCATTTCTGACGTTTTTCAGTTTTGGACATAATTTGAAAATTACCCGTTTCCTTTTACCTGACAAAAATGATCCAAATGACAATGGTTCCATTGACTGACATTAAAAGTAAAGTAGGTTTTTTCTTTCTCCTGTAAAGTTGCCGTTTTGGAGATACAGGGTTTTGCTCTGACAGCAGTGATAGGTTATGCATAGCACAGTTACACAGCATAGAACTCCACCCAGTTTATCCTCTCACATCCATACAGAATGCATATTGTTTGAAACAAATACCGCACTGTAAATTTAGGAATTTAGATTAAAAAAAACTATGTCATTCAGTACAATTTCTCATTATGTAGAATGGATTTTTTGTCAACATTTCAATGTAAAGTTTGTCTAGTCTCAACAGTAGCTATGAAAGAATGCATCTGTGGGCAGTTCTTATTTTGGGAATTAAGAAAAATTCAAGACATCTGCATGTGTTCACCATTTATCCATCTAAAACACCACAGAGAGCACTAGAGTGGAGGTAGATGTTAGAACTGTGAACTGAATGCGCATCAACATCTGAAATTCTGTTCACTGTTCATCTGCCTCACTCCAGAAAGCACTGTGCAAAAGTTTCAGCCATGAAATCTGTTTAAAACTATATCTTGATAATAAGTGTGTTTTTGCCTGTAAAAACGCTAAACATTTGATTATATTAAAATAAACGTAAATACAAGTGGCAATAATTTCCTCTTGTTTTTTTCCTCTCCAGGTTTTAAAATAGCTGGTTCACTAATGTCCATCGCCATCAGTGTGTTGTTATACCATTGCAACATGCGTGACTTTGTTCCTGAGGATCAGAAGATGGGATGGTCCTCCTCTGCAGTTTTCTTCCTGTGGAACCTGTTCCTGATTACCCCTCGGGTGCTTGCTGTTGCCCTCTTTGCCTCCATCCTGCCCTGCTACATTGCTGCTCACTTCCTGTCCTGGTGGGTGCTGCTGTTTCTCTGGGCCTGGAGGCAGAAGACGGACTTCATGGACAACGAAGGAGGTGAATGGCTCTATCGGGCCACTGTAGGACTCATCTGGTACTTCAGCTGGTTTAAGGTATCAAAGGGAAAGACTAAAGTCAAGAGCATCATCTACCATGTGTGCATGGGGGCCGACATTGGGCTGCTATTGGGCTTGTGGTTTTGGAAAAGATCTGTTGATTCAGCTCGTCTGAATCCTCTGCCATTTAATCCGTATGTGCTGATTGGTGCATTGCCTGCACTTTACATCACTGGACTCCTACTAAAACTGCTTTATTACTGGAAGTTCCATCCCAACTGCCCAAGTTTGAGATTCAAGGACAGAGATGAGACACCACAGATTCAGTTACCTAGAAGAGCTTCAGAAGCAGATGATTCGGTTGAGATGGTTTCCGCTGACTTGGAATACCAACAGACTGTTTCTGGCACCTGGAAGAGGATGAGAAACATGGTTATTAATTTTTACTACTAATTTAGACTTTATAATATCTACAGCTAGATTCCTAGACCCAGATTAGGCCTAAGCCTAAATGAGGTGTTTAATGGTGCGACACAACTGGCATCACAATTTAGTCATAATGACATAATGCCAATATCTGAATGTAGCTACATACAGACTGTATTTTTATCTGTTACTGCGCTTCCCAAACAACAAAAATATTCCTGGTGCTGTAGGATCCTTTTATAGTGTTATATTCATACTGTTAAGGGACAGAATCAGTCAGACGTTCGTGGTAAAAATAACCAAAACAGGCTTTACTGTTGAGAGGATTTTCCAAAGACATGGTCAAAAAACAGGCATAGGTCAGAACCAGGACAGATCAGACACACAAAGACAACAAACACAACAGACGACAAAAATCCAGGCAAACAAGTCCAAAGAGAGAAGGCAAAAACAAAGTCAGAAAGAACAGAAATAAAGTCCAGTTAACAGTGAGACAAAGTACAGGAACCAACGCTCAGTAGCTCTAGAAATAGAAGCAACACCTCACAATGAACTAAACTAAAGCCCAGATACTATTTAACAGATCACATAAAACAAGAAACAGGTGAGGCATATCAGTATTCAGGTGAAGCTGAACAACGACCGGTGGTGATGGTGCCACAGTCATGTGATCTCCCAGGGAGTTCTGGGATTTAGAGTCCATGGGAGAAGCAGGATCAGAGGGATGTGTGACACTTACTATAAAGGGATCCTACATTAATCCTATATTAATGATGTTTTTTCAAAGCTATGTTGATGTAGAAGCTTTTTAACAATCTATTTTTTTGGGAGGTTATTTTATAAATAATATGCTGCCAGTCAGTGTTTAGTATGTTTTTGTGTTAAGTTCTCTTATTATTCTCTTATTATTGGTTCTGGTGTTCAGCTGAAATTTTATTTAGTCTGGGTCAAACTGTGAGTGAGTCACGACAACAGAACCTTCACTCTTATACTCCATATATATATGTATGTATATATATATATATATATATATATATATATATATATATATATGGAGTAATTTTTTTGTTTCAGAAAAAGATTGAAATGTGTAATATACACCGATCAGGCATAACATTATGACCACCTCCTTGTTTCTACGCTCATTGTCCATTTTATCAGCTCCACTTACTATATAGGTGCACTTTGTAGTTCTACAGTTACAGACTGTAGTCCATCTGTTTCTCTGCATACTTCGTTAGCCCCCTTTTACCCTGTTCTTCAGTGCTCAGGACGCCCATGGACAGAGCAGGTACTATTTGGGTGGTGGATCATTCTCAGCACTGCAGTAACACTGACGTTGTGGTGGTGTGTTAGTGTGTGTTGTGCTGGTCTGAGTGGATCAGACACAGCAGTGCTGCTGGAGTTTTTAAACACTGTGTCCACTCACTGTCCACTCTATTAGACGCACCTGCGTTGTTGGTCCACCCTGTAGATGTAAAGTCAGAGACGATAGCTCATCTCTTGCTGTGCAGTTTGTGTTGGTCATCCTCTAGTCCTTCATCAGTGGTCACAGGACGCTGCCCACAGGACACTGTTGGCTGGATATTTTTGATTGGTGGACTATTCTCAGTCCAGCAGTGACACTAAGGTGTTTAAAAACTCCAGCAGTCTGATCCACTTGTACCAGTGCAACACACACTAACACACCACCACCACATCAGTGTTACTGCAGTGCTGAGAATGATCCACCACCCAAATAGTACCTGCTCTGTGAGGGTCCATGGGCGTCCTGAGCACTGAAGAACAGGGTAAAAGGGGGCTAACGAAGTATGCAGAGAAACAGATGGACTACAGTCTGTAACTGTAGAACTACAAAGTGCACCTATATAGTAAGTGGAGCTGATAAAATGGACAATGAGCGTAGAAACAAGGAGGTGGTCATAATGTTATGTCTGATCGGTGTATTTATGTAACAGATTTGTGATGAACAGTGCAATAGTAGCCCCAGGGTTGAAGATTTCAGTAAATGACTTATGTTGCACCAGTTTGATGCTAAACTCAAAGCAGTGAGACTTTTTTACAGGCTGCAGTTATATTGCCATCTACTAGTCAGTCTGCATTATCATTCATACTCCCATATACCCCCATAGTTCTACCTAGGGATGAGGGATGTGATGCAAAAGTTTGAATACCCATGGTCGACATTTTTTGTTGATTTTCTAAGTGAAAATAAATCAACATATTCTCTACAGGAAACAAACTTAAATATGACAATTTCTGCAGATTTTAGTGCACATTGACTATTTATTTGCTGAGATTAACACATTGAAACAAACATAAAATATAAAATGTACCACAACTTTTGCACAGGCTACATTTATTGTTCCAATATGTTACATTCATGAAATAAACAGTAATAAACATGGGAATCAGCAAAACATGTAATTTGGCCAGGGGTGCCCTAACGTTTGAATATGACTGTATATTAGAATTCATCCATTACATGTTTTTCAGAGGTCTCAAAAGTGCAGAGGCTACTGCACATTTTAGCAGAGTTAAAGCTCCTGTGTACACTTTTTCATGATTTTCTTGTTTCCTGTTTTTATTCTGAGCTAGTAGAGCAACAATCATGTTGGTCTTTTCTGTTAAGAGTTTTTTTTAAAAGACATTTTCTTCAGTTTGACTTGAGCAAAATAACTACTAGTAACTAGCAAAGATACTTTCTCTGGATAGACAAAGCACTTTTTGTAAGTCGCTCTGGATAAGAGCATCTGCTAAGTGCTGTAAATGTAAATGTAGCTAATGTAGCCTAAATATATCAAGTATTTACATGTAATATTTGAAGGTTCACTACTAGCGGCTACATTTTGCTGTTGATGTTTTGATGTATTTAAATATAAACGCTCTCTGGCCCTCGGATTTGTTGATATTTTTTAATATGGCCCTTTTAGCGGTTGAGTTTGACCGATGAGGACCATTGAAATTCTGCATTTTGCTAAATTCTTCATGTTGCTCCAAAAGTGTTTTGTTGCCATCTTGTCCGGGCTGTGTTACACACTGCGTGCTGTTTCCGGGACGCTGCTTTGTTTTTGCTCATGCGCAGATGAAAGAGATCAGGGTGAGTGTTTACATGGCCTGCAGAACTGAGCTCAAATCCAACTCTATTGTCAGATTTCTAGACCTTAATCCGATCTAAGAAATCACAGTGTGCTGTTTATAGAACTACTTGAATAATCAGATAACTGCCGAAGACTGATAATGATCAGATTATAAAGCGCATGTAAACACACTCACTGTGGGAAATACTGTGTGTGTGTTTGTGTGTGTGTGTGTGGGTGTGTGTGTGTGTGTGTGCCTAAGGCATAGTCAATGACGCAGGAATGTAGACAGAAGGTGTGGACGTTCCAGAGCACTTTCTGTGCGCCGAGTACTTTGCTCTTCTCAGGTGCAGCAGTGAATTACAGGTCAAGATCAGGAGGTGTGATACAACCTTACACCATGGCAAAAGGCTGTTCTCCCAAGTGTCCACTGCCACCCATCCTGCGTCCTCTGCTGGGTTTCATCTTTTTCCTGGTGGACGTGGTGCTGGACGTGTGGAACATTGTGTCATTGTATCAGAAAGGGGAGTATGTTTATGTGGGGCTGTTGATAGCCCTGCTGCTGGCCTCCTCCGTCCTAGCGCAGGTGTACAGCTGGATGTGGTATTCGGACTATAAGGAGACTCTGGAGAGCAGAGTAGAGAAATTTGCGAGCAGTCATGGTTTAATTGGACTTCTTCACGTCTTTCAGCTGGGAATGTTCCTCAGGTTTGGGACAGATTTAGTTTTCTCTTTGCCTCCTTTACATATTAGACAAATCAGTACAATCAACAATACAAACAAAACAAGCACTATTGTTAGCTCACTCTTAAAGGGGAACTCCACCGAGGTTGTAAAATTACTTAATCATTTAATGGTTTAGATGTGAACCAAATCATTCAGAGTGGTTCGGTGTGAAATGCGTTTTTCCAGAGAAATTTACAGAGTCAGAGTTGTTCACCATTATAGTACTAGGAACCAGACGTCTGATGTGTTTAATGGCTCTAAAAGCTACATCCCGTTAGGTTATTACACAAAATGGTCATGAATGCATGGCTTGAGACCTGAGACATTGTTTTGTGATAGTTTTGTTATAAAGTTTTGGCCTAAAACGTATTTTTAGTGTAGAGAGAGAGAGAGAGAGAGAGAGAGAGAGAGAGAGAGAACCTGCCGGCGCCGACGCAGAGCAGCCCAGGGCAAATGGAAAGTGCTGGTCTCAACAACAAACTACTTGCTACTCTGCTCACCAGTTTACAGGGTAGGATAGCAAGGTAGTTTTTTTTGTTTTTTTGCATGTCCCAAGTTAGACAGTCTGTTCTAAGCTAACGGCTAACAGTGATATATGCAAGGTGGCTCACAAACGTTTCTTACTTAGATTCCAGTTTCTGCTGTAGTGAAACTGCCGGTGTGTAAATCTGCGGCTCTGCAGTCAGACCGTTCCCCACAAGGCGTTCAGGGCTTATTGTTATTAGGTAAAAATAGTACCCAAATTTTAAATTACCATTATCAGTGTGACATATAAAAACTTACAGGACACATGTAAGTTCAGTGGTCATTTTGTTTAGCAGATAAAATGGTGATATTTGTAGTGTAGACATATGGACCTCTGGTTCCTAGTACTATAATGGTGAACGATTTTGTCTCTAAATTTCTCTAGAAAGGCGCATTTCACACCGAACTACTCTGAATGATTTTGTTTACATCTAAATCATTAAATGATTAATTAATTTTGCAAAATGGATGGAGTTTCTCCTTACAAAAGATGGTCCTTCAGTGGTTCTTCAGTAAAGACAGTGCTTCTATATAGAACCATGAACACTCAGAGGACCTTTTGCATGTTTAAAGGGTTCTTTGCATGGTGAAATGGTTCTTCAGACTGATGGAGAATTAAAGGGTTCTGCTATTGTAAAGATGTCAAGCTTCTAACAACAGAAGAACCATTTTGGTGCTAGATAGAAACATTGTCTTTGCTAAAGAACCCTTGAAGAACCGTCTTTAAGAGTGTAACAGAACTTCCAATTAACAGGATTTCCAATATTTTATTTCTCAGTGCTGGTGCTGTTAGGGCTGCATCTTTGGGGCTTCAGTCCTGAATATTCAGATGCTCCAAACAGGCTGACCAGCCTAGAATTACTGCTACAATGCGCTTTTCTTAACCAGCGCTGTCACTTTAAATGTTACGTCACAGCAAACCAAGTATCCATCAGCCTCTCCCCTGAACCCCCTCTGACATCACACTGAGCGTGAAGTTACTGTGGAGTGAAGGCCTGGAGAGGGAGAGGTGAGATAGTAGAGTGCTGTGATTGTAATTTGTTCCCTCACTGGTTCTAACGTCATAGAAACCTTCACTCTGTAGCATCACTACACTACACTACAGTACAGTAATGCTAATTTCTGTTAGCATTCTATTGGAATGCAGTGTTAAGTTAGTGCCAGGCTAACAGTGGTGTACATTGACTTTCCCACATTGGGTAAAACACTGATGGCAGCTCTAGTTTAAACTCTGACATTTGAAGCCTGTAATGTGCTTTATTGTGTATGTTTTAGTGTTTCAGTAAATCCTTCAGTAAATACTTCAACTTGAAGCCTCACTCTTAACACTGGAGGAGGCTTTAGTACAGTATGCTTCACTTATGTTAGCAATTCATAATGCATAATAAGCATGGCTATAACATGTAATGCATTTTTATAAATATTTATAGCCATGTTTATCAATGCATTATAACATGTTATGAATGTGTTTATAGATGCTTACAAACGCGACATTCATAGAAAGAGTTACCAAAATTTCTTCTGATTTATATCTATAAATCCTATGGCCAGTCAGACAATTACGTCATGTCGTTTCCAACATTCCACTATATTCATTCACTATTTTTACTTTTAACATTACAACTGTTGACTTCTATGTCATAAACTCAAAAAACCTGTGAAGTGTTTCCCACAGATGTACATGTACTAGTTAAGACAACATTTGTAGATTTATTAGCCTAGATTGTATATTATAGCATAAACAGTGTAATTCTTTACTTTCTGCCTAGATGCTGCACAACATGCATGAAAGGCTGCATTTATTAATATAGGAGCATATTTTGCACAGTGTGCCATGCGGCATGGTTTCGATGTGTTTATCGTGCATGTTCATATTACGTGAAGATGAAAATATGATGTATCGGTCAGCAATACTTGTGCAAAATAGACTCACCAGTGACGTTTATTGCTTGAAAAGAAAAGATACATGATGATCTTTTATCTGGGCGAACTGGTCAGTAACTTTTCTGTGGATGTCCACCAGTCCATGAATGAATTTATTTTCAACTGACATAACAAGTGAATTTAACCCCGTTGCCTCATGGTGTTGCATGTAAATGTCTTATTCCTGTCAATGTTGAAAAATCTCTGTCGGACTCAGCGGTGGTCATTAGTGTAGTGATTATGGTTTTTAGCAGTGACACTGAAACTGTGATGACCAACAGTGGCTAGCTGCGTAGCAATTTCTTACACAGCTCTATACTATATTACAGAACTCTTTCAGCACTTCATCAGCGTCGAAGGAGAACTTACGCTTTTCTCCTTCATCTCCAGAACTTCTCACAGTGAAATGCTGATGTCAATCTCCTCTTTTCTCCTGAGGGGGGGTTCAGGAGAAACAATTCAGAAATCAGTGATCCTTCATCAATATAATATTGAGATCTGCTCTAAGTCTCTGAGACATTTTTAAGAAAGGATTCTTTCCTCTGGGATAACACGAGTGTTAGCTCAGAAAGATGTGGTGACTCTACACACTGTAAAATATGGCTCATCAGATCAACCTAAAGAATAACTTCATGTAGTAACAAGCAATTGAAATAGTTTTTTCCAATTCAAATTTTCACTGAAAGAACTGTTAAGTTAAAGTATTTACTTAGGTTGAATAAAACTATAAACTATAAACTAGTTAATTTACTTGTTACCACATGAAGTAAATGATCTGACAAGCCATTTTTTACAGTGCAGGATTAAAGTACATGTTATCAGCAACGCTTCACCACTCAATAGCACATAATAGCAACAAGCAACAGAGGGTTATCCCAAGATAACAAAAGAGGATTTCCATCGGTAAAAATCTGAAGACAGCTATGAAGTAGGTTTTTTTTTTAATTAATTTATATTTTAATTCACTCATTCATTCATTCTCATGTAGGTTTGCAGGTGTGGTGGAGATCAGCATATGCAACCCTAAACAAAACAACAAACAGGGAGGAGCTGCATCCTTAAGCCCTGACATGAGCATGTTGCGCCTGATTGAGGCCTTTTCTGAAAGCGCCCCTCAGCTGGTTATCCTGATCTGCATCACCATCCAGGAGCAGGAGCTGCAGCTCTTACAAGGTCAGGTCAACATCTAAAACTGCCTCCTTTCCTTTTCTTTACAAAATCAGCCAATTTGCATTTATTCTCCTCTGGATGCTGCGTCATGATGTCACAGTAGACCTTAAAAAGCAGGCCACTCGAATCCAGCAGTGAAATTTTGCAGCTTTTTTAAATTGATATCGATAGCTCGAGTTGATTCTGCAAGTTGTGACATCTGAGTTTGTTTCTATGGCAAAAACTTCACTTTGTCCATCATCTTAGAATTAAGTTGACGTCAGAGCTGGTTTATGAGGAGCCTGGCCACTTCCTGTTTCCCCCATTATATCAAAAACAGGACTGCGAAACAGCAGAGGGTGCCCATGAGCGAGTTCTCAATGAATGGGAGTGAATGGAGCTCAACAGCTAAAAACGAAAAGTTAAAATAGTTTCTAATCTCTCGCCCAGAACTTTCCTTTAATTTTAGAAAGTAGAAGGATGTATTTCACTAAAAAGCAAAGAAAATTCACCTGTATGTTTCCTTTTTTCTACAGTAAACGGGTTTTGGGCAGCAGGACACTAACATTACTGCTACTGAGTGCTGATTGGTTGGTGAGTGGAACAGCTCATTGGCTGTTCGCACTCACAGACATCACAGATGTACATGAGGCACCATTTTAAACTCCTATAACTCGAGTTCAAAAGCTCTGAAAAATATAACAGCGGTGTTAAAATGTTTTATGCTGTTCTGTGTTCAGGAAATGAATATATTCTTTTACATTAAAAATGTTTAATCATTTATAAACTATGATTTTGGACTCGCTTGGGAGCGCCCTCTAGCGTTTGAGAAACCCGGAAGACATTAGAGAGTGGTAATTCTCCTCTCTACAAGTTCTCTGGCTAGACATCTGTAGCCAGTTGCACCAGCTGAATGTAAGTTTGATCGTAAGATGGAGTGTGAAGTCCATCCTGAACCTTACGTTGAGAGTAGTTAGTACAAACTAGTAACACACAGAATTTCGGTTGCGCCACAGACACTTACGGTACACTCTCCGCAGCTAATCAGTAACCCCACCCGACATAAACAGGAAACATTACACGCATGATCTCGACACGCAGTAAATCACTCACGTTTCTCTCTGTCTGTGCTAGATTGACTTCGCTTAACCCTTTAATGTCCTCACCAAGGAAAAAGTAATGGATTTTTTTTTTTATTATTATTTGTTTGGGGCAATAATAAAAACAATTGGTGTTTTTTTTGCGTGACCCTACAATTTTTTAAATATTCACGTCTACCAAAAGATTGAGATGGCACTTTGTGGCATATATAGTAACTCAAAATGTGCTCTACCAAATAGTTGAGCAGAACATCAAAGGGATAAGATGTGTCGGTCGTACAATTCAAAAAGAGACTGTGTTGTACAGTAAAGTGTCCTCAAAGCGTCCGTCTCTCATATGTGTATTTATTCAGTTCTGGTGCTTGGAATTGTTCCGATGTTCAAACATTTTTAATGGCACTTTATCAGTGAATGGCCGGTAATGTTAACGAAGCTGCGGCTAATGTAATCACTGTTTGAATCTGCTGAATGACAAAAAGGTAATGTTACCTGTGTCAGTTATATTTTAAAAAGGTCAGCGTTACTGTCCTTGTGTAAGTCTGCGGCTAGGATCTCTGATCGATAATCTACCCCATAGAACTGGTTGCTGATGCAACCTGAGATGTATTTGTATTTTTCTTGCAAGCTTCCCATCGATCAAATCGACCAGCGCTTTTAACTGATTTTTTATGGCAGAGCTTACACCGACTGCAGGGTATGTGTAAGCTTTAACTTATAATTTAAAGCTACATTGAAACATGTCACTTGGTGCGACCGGTTAAATCCTAGTAGCTCGTATATTTGAAGGTAGCGGCAGTTTACGTTCAAACTGGTGCAACTGGCTGCTGAAGTTTGCCTGAAGTTAGTTTTGCATTGACACTAAGCTAATGAAACTAACAAGTGATGGAAGCCTGTACTCCACCAGTTAGCATCATGCAAATGCCATTGCCTAAATCATCACACACTCACCTCTAGTCATGTTAAGTGATCTCCAGTAGACTTGCTTATGTGGTTTATGACACTGTATGACACACTGTTATCTATAAACATGATGTAAGATGGCCGCTAATGCTGTTTTGTCCATTTATTTTTGTCCATTTGTATAGAAAATAGTACATCAAACAGTGTCACAAACCACAAACAAGTCTGTTAGATATTATTTAACTACTGGACATGGGTTGAGTAAAGTGTGTGATGATTTAGACATGCAGTTTGATGCTCATCAGCTCTCAGGCTCAAACGAATCTAAACTGACAAGTGAATAGCAGTTTCACTAAAGATCAACTTAAATTTACTCTAATTCAGATGGCTGTACTCGTTTTATAATTATGTACACCAGTGAAGTAAAGTGCAACACGTATCTAAAAAAGAGTAACTTTACCAGAGAAGACAAAAAATTCCATGTGAATTAATGTAAAAAGGGTTTTATCCTAAGTGATTTTGGAGCCTTTCTATTGGTTCATTTGTCATGAAATTTTCACACAATGTAAAGGACAGCCGCCATGTTCAAACGACGTAGAAAACTAAGAATCGACAAAAATGGAGATGCACTTTTTTTTGGACAGTGACGAAATGTGATTTCAGAATTTATCTGACAGACCACTTTATTAAGATTAGTATATTTTAGGATATTAGATTCTGATACTGAGTAAGTCCTCTCTTTGCTAGTGTGTGTACATTTAGTAGCAGTCCTGTTAATAGAGCACACAACCAGTGTTCATAACTGATATCATTTCAGAATGTCTTTGTATCTCTGTAGTTAAACTGGTCTGAAACATGAGATCAGTGGAACGCTTTAGTTTTTGATACGTATGTCTGATGAAGTACATCAGGAGCTGTTTTAGTACTGATCACTTTATAATTTGGCACAATAGATTCAATTCATTTAAAAACACCATCAAAATATCTTCCATGTAAGCCCTACTTGCTTTACTGTAAGGCTGCTTTGGGACACACTTTATAAGTTAAATTATATTAACTGTTCAACATTGTCCTCGTTTTTTCTTCTCAGGTCTAAAAATTGCTGGTTCGTTTGGTGCCATTGCCTTTTGTTTACTGTCCTACCATCGCAACATGCGTAAATTTGTTCCTGAAGATCAGAAGATGGGATGGTCCTCCTCTGCAGTTTTCTTCCTGTGGAACCTGTTCCTGATTACCCCTCGGGTGCTTGCTGTCGCCCTCTTTGCCTCCATCCTGCCCTGCTACATCGCTGCTCACTTCCTGTCCTGGTGGGTGCTGCTGTTTCTCTGGGCCTGGAGGCAGAAGACGGACTTCATGGACACTGAAGGAGGTGAGTGGCTCTATCGGGCCACTGTAGGACTCATCTGGTACTTCAGCTGGTTTAACGTATCAAAGGGAAAGACTAAAGTCAAGAGCATCATCTACCATGTGTGCATGGGGGCCGACATGGGGCTGCTATTGGGTTTGTGGTTTTGGCAAAGATCTGTGGAATCAGCTCGTCTGAATCCTCTGCCAGTTAATCCGTATGTGCTGATTGGTGTGTTGCCTGCACTTTACATTACTGGACTCCTCTTAAAGCTGCTTTACTACTGGAAGTTCCATCTCAGCCGCCCAAGACTGATATTCAGTGTCAGAGATGCAATGTCACAGATTCAGTCAGAGGTTCAGGTGGAAGAGTTTGGGACCATCATGCCTGAACGTGAAACAGAACCTAAACAGATTTTCACTGGCATCCACAAACGGAGGAGGAACATGGCTGTTAATTTCTATTACTAATTTAGACTATTTACCATGTATGGGTGGTTTCCAAGACACAAGACTAAGCTTAAACAAAATTCATTATGTGAAACACAATTGACATTGTAATTTAGTCCTAGTCCAAGACTATGTTTAACCTAGCCCTATTTAAACTATATATAGACTATATATTTATCTTCCACACTATTGGTCAAACTACAAACACATTCCATGTGCTATGGGATCCTTTTATTGTGTTTTTCTGAAACTATGGTGAAAAAGATGATTATGCCTTTTACTACTCTACTGAATGTTTGTTATAAAGGTTTAATGCAGGGATGCACAGCTGTGGTCCTGGAGGGCTGGTGTCCAGCACAGTTAATGATTTACCTGCTCAGACACTTGAGTCCCTCAAGGTTCAGTTTTAGGGCCTTTACTTTTCTCTTTGTACATGCTACCTCTAGGTGATATCATTGGGAAGCATAATATAAATTTTCATAGCTACGCTGATGACACCCAGTTATACATTTCCATTCCTTCTGGTGATCAAGACTCTGTGGACAGACTAACCATTTCTCTTTATCATTTGAGAAATATCACTAAAGTTCAGCCTTTTCTCTCTCAGAGCGATGCAGAGAAACTTGTTTATTCATTTGTTACAGCAGAGTTGATCACTGTAATGATCTTCTTACTGGACGTCCTAAGAAAACTATACATCCTTTACAACTCGTACAAAATGCGGCAGCACAGATCGTAACAAAAAACAAATCAGGGAGATCACATCACTCCTGTTTTAAACAGAGCTGCACTTGCTGCCTGTATCGCTCAGGCACCACTTACATCACTGAGTGTCTGTCTGTTTATGATCTTAGATCTGCAGATACTGAACTTCTGCAAACACCTTCTGTAAAATACAGAAAACATGGAGAGACTTGTTCAGTTATTCTGCTTCTAAACTGTGGAGCTCAGTTCACCTTTTATTAGACAGTCTTAGGCTTCAAACGTTTTGAGGGATTTTGGGTTAAAATCTCTGGTATTCATTATGGCATTGATTCAGAAGAGCACCTGGGCCACCAGCAGCTAAACAGCCCAAAACATCAGTGATTCACCACCATACTTGACAGTTTGTATCAGGCACTTTTCACTGAATGCTGTCCTTCTTTTCACCAAACATGGTGAAAGTCTGCTTCTTTTGTAGAACTCTTCCAGAAAGCCTCCGGTCATTGAGGTGGAGTCTGGGAGTGGATTTCAAAACTTTAAAACCCAAGATTTAACTAAACTGCAGTTTCAAATCTGTAATCTTTCAGTTCCTCTCCACCTCCTCCTCACTGAACGTGGGAGCGATATGATTATGTGCCCTGTTTTTGGCAAATTTTTAACTGTTTTTCAAGCCTTTTCATTATTGCCATGATTGTGCTTAATGGTAATTTTAACTGATTACTAATTTATTATCGTCATTTCCTGATCTGTGCAGGTCCACAAACGTCTGTCTCATTTGAGTCGATGGCTCTTTGATTTTATTCATGTTGATGAATGATAAGGTGATTGTGAATGTGTGTAACCTTATATTTATACTGCAGGGAAACAGGAAATGGTCACAAATGTTTAAAAGAGCCATTTTGTCCTTTCAACAAAACTCAAACCACCTTGGGAGCCACAACATTTTATGTCTATTTTATTGAAGTAATATTGTACCATTTTGGCTGGAAGTGTGAACTAAAAATATAATACAAATGAAAATGCAGACTCACTTTGCTCTGCTTTAAGCTTTAGCTCAGCTATAGCTGCTTTTCTCGCATCTCGCATCTCCAGCAGTAGAACAGTTTCTTGTAAAATGTCTCTCAACATTTGACTTTTTATGAGGCTGAAGTCGCTTCTCATTCGCCAGCTTCTTGTTAAAATTTTTTCGTTCCACCTTAAATCGTGCCTGAGGTGCGAGAATGTAACTGCTGCACCACTTTAAGAGACTTTTTAGTGTTTGTCAGTTTCTCGTTGCAGATTAAACGTATCAGGAAACCAGCTGGAGTGATTATAAATTAATTCATCTCAAAATTATAAATGTTCGTCGGAAATCATTCTCTTTGCCGTTTCGTTAGCTACTAGCTAGGTGAGATTGTTGTCTGTGTTGCTATGGTGACCAGCAGTCTGTCTGCCGACTTTCAGGGTTAAAGCGTGAATTAGCAGTTCTACATTAACTGTGTTGAACGATCAGCAGAGCTTTATTTTTCTGCAAAGGAGGATTATTTTATTTTTACCTACAAATCTAATTCTGCTGTGGAGCCTCAACAGGGCAGTAAAAGAGCCACATGCAGTTCTGGAGCCACATGTTGCTGACCCCTGACCTACACAAGAACATCAGAAGTACAGCATTCAACAATACTCTTTCTGTGACCTGATTTGAAGAAAAAAGGAAATTTTCATTAACTCTCGTTTTCATTTATGTAACTGGTTATTTGTATAAATACTACTTTTCAAACTGTGCTTTTCTCAAGACTGGTATGTTTGAAGTAGGTCTGAAGTTTTGAAGAATCTAGGTTTCTGCAGTAGAGGCCATATCTGACAATGTGAAAGTAAAAAAGTACATAATGTCTTCATAAATTAATAAAATACATCAAGTCAGTTTTGTCTTTCTGTTTACTTTCAGCAATAATTGTGTTGAGCAATTTCAGCACATTTTTATGCCCTTTCAGTGATGTAGCGCTAACACACAGAAGTATGTTATTACCCGTCTTATGTTTTCTCTTTGCCACCATAATAAATTCACTTGGTCTAACCTGGCTGCACCCCTGAATAGAGCACGTTTGGGAGAAAGTCATAGAACAGAAGATTCCCAGCATGGATTTGCAACTGATGTTATGCAATCATGTCAACATGGACCAGAATCTCTAAGCAATGTTTCCAGCACTTTGTTGAATCCATTGTTCTGAAAGCTGAAGGGGGTCCAACCCAGTTTTAGAATGACAACATTCAGGCCTGTGCACAGCCATTTTGAGGGGTAGGGGCTCAATGGGAAAAAAGGGGCAACCTGAACGTGAGTTAAACTTTATTTAATTCACAGCATATTGCCACCATTCTGCTTTGACGTTTCAGAATGAAGGCACGTGTTTTTTCTTAAGGCAACCAAACATTTTACCTAATTTTCTCCCCAAATTTAGCCAGTGGCCAGTTCCACCTGCTAGCTAGGTCTCACAGTGCTGTCAAGCTGGGAGAGTGAAGGCTCGCAGTGAAGAATCTATGAAAGGTCAGTTACTGAAGTGAAATCTTCGCAGGTGGTCAGCCTGCACCAGAGGGAGCGCCCAGGAGCGATGAAGCTCATGGACACAAAACAACCCACAAGAGCTATTCCTGGGGAGAAAGATCTGGCAGAAGGGCTATTTAAAGCACGCTGAACTAGAGAACACTTGTACCATCTGATGTCAAAGGGGAAGGTGACTCAAACCCTCCCTGTCTGGGCACATGTCTGGTGAGTGTACATTCCCCACTCACTTCATTAGAAACATTGCCACTTTATGAGCTCCACTCGCATTATAGGTCCACTATAGATGTACAGTTACAGGCTGTAGCCCATCTGCACAGTTCATCGGCCCCCCTGTAGACCATTCTGACCACTGAGCTGGTCTTTTCTTAGATAGTTTTGGGTGCTGAACTGCTCTCAAACCAGTGTCATTGCTGTGCTGAGAATCGTCCAACACACCTAATACACCTAGCAGTGGTCTTGGCTTGGTTAGAAACTGACCATTGATGAAGGGCTAGAGAATGGCTGATCAATAAAGAGACTTCAGTGTCTAACTGTACACCAGCGAGGTGGAAGTGAGTGGTTTTATGAAATCACTAAGCTCATATGTAGTGTATTAGTCTTATTATTATTTGCTTTGGTCTTGTCACAAGGCTCCCATCAGTCCTTCTCCCAGGCCACTGCTGGGCAAGATTGTGTTCATGCTTAATGAATGGAATGGTGTAATAAGCAAGTCAGAGTGACACTGTGCAGTCATGGTCACTGGGGTAATTCCTTCCCCAGTTGCTTGGGGGCAGTGTTAAGCTCAAGTTTGAAGTTAAGAGGAAGAAGAAGACGAGAAGCAGACTTGTTTGGGGCTGTTTAGTATACTTGTGCTCTTCAAACATGTTAGGGATTGTATGTTCTTTGGCTGAACATTAGTAATGTATTTTTATTTTGTAAGCTTTTTATACATTTGTAGCTTCATCTTCTTCTGGAGAAAAGCATTTATGGTGATGTTCAGTCATGTATTTATCCTTGTTTCTGTTACCTGTTTCAGAAGAGTTTGGTCTGGATGCATTTCTAAAAGTGTTCCAAATCCAGATGGTCTCTTTTGTGGCTTATATTGGCCTCCGTGGTTCTTTGAGCCGAAGACCGGCTTGAAGTGGCCTTGAGGAATCCTGCTATGGTCATCTTCACCTTCTGTCCATTCTATCTGGACTGTTTCGGAGGGGAACTAAACTTCAGATGGATTGATAAACTGTTTCTCATGTGGGATTGTAAAAGATTTAAAGCATGGAATGGGAACTGGTGAGATCGATTGCAGAGGGACTGGTTTTGCTTTCATTTTCTTTGTTTATTTGTTATCCAAACATGGTGAATTTGTATATATAGTGGGAACTGGTTGTGGGAATATGCTTGGTGGATGTGTCTCCAATTGATTCTATACACCTTCAAGATAAAATATCATCTATTTCAGACTAAATATCGGTAAGCATGTGTAATTATTTCCTTTTAGGAAATGCACCCCCCCTTACTAATTTGTTATCGTCATTCTCTGGTCAGAACAAACCCAGTGAGTGTTACAAGTATCACAGTTTTAAAGCTGAAGAAAGCATGTGCTTTCAGTTTGTGTTCAAAGCGAGTACATATTCTCAGAAGCCTGTGGATTACAGACAGACACCAGAGACAGCGACACACAGCCTAACACCATGAGAGAAGGCTGTCCTTGCTCACCTCCACCCGTCCTGCTTTCTGTGGGTGGTTTGCTCCTTTTCTTGTTGGATGCTGTGCTGGACGTATGGGCTGTTGTGTCACTGTTTCAGACGGGGCAGTATGTTTACATGGGGCTGTTAATAGCCCTGCTGTTCTGCTCCTCAAGCCTAGTACAGGTGTTCAGCTGGATCTGGTATACAGATATCCAGGAGCCAGAAACCTACACACCAACATCGGATTTCCAGGAACCGGAAACCAAACAGAAAACCAAAGTAGAGACATCGAAATTGGACAGTTGGCAGAGATGTATGGCAAAAAAACGTTTAATAGGACTGCTGCACATCCTTCATCTGGGAATGTTTTTCAGGTATGTGACAAATTTTGCCATTTATTTGCTATTTGTATAGTTAAGATGGGTCAGTGTTGGGGAAATAACTGAAAGCTGTGCTAAATTAGTCCAACTGCTGATTAAGAGGGAATTTAATTCAGTAGCCAAGAAGTATAAAATGCCATTTATGTTAACATGTAAAACTATAAATGGTCTTTTGCTGGGAAGCTGAGTGGGTGCCATTACTTTCTGTACTTAAATGAATGTAGGACCAAGATTCACTTGACCAGAGGTGTAAGGAGTACTGAAAATTCCTACTCAAGTACAAGTACTGTTACTGTAATAACAATTTACTCAAGTACAAGTAAAAGTATTAGTAAATAAAATTACTCAAGTAAGAGTAAATAAGTAGTTTGCTGAAAAACTACTTAAGTACTGAGTTATTTACTTTTTCATATTTCCGCTGTCACAACCTGAACATATTTCTGAGCTACTCGGCTACATCGCTGGAAATAATCTGTACAGAAAAACACTAAAGCTAAAGTTCTGAGAGCTGAGACTGATCACAGTTCACTCTCCTACTGAATATTTACACAGCCTTCTGTGAGCTGTGTAAGGAATGAGGTTCACATCAAACTGCATGTATTTCACGGTTAGACGATTATATAAGATGTCCTAGTTTATCTGTTTATCCTAGTTTATCTGTGTGCGACACCTGTTAACTAAAGCAGCTTTCGTATTGGTGTCTGAGCTGATTCGCTCATAATTTATTTTTACTCTGCAATGTTAAGAAAATTACAATAGCGAAGTAAAAGTATTTTATTAAAAATTAACTCAAATATGAGTAAAAGTACTATGATTTAATTCTACTCCAAAAAGTACCGCTACAGGGAAAACTGTACTGAATTACAGTAACGAGAGTAAATGTAATTCGTTACTTACACCTCTGCACTTGACCTAAATCTAAAATTCCTTTTACATATTAATAATTAATGTGAGAAGAGGTGTAATTATCAGGTTTCACATGGTTGTATCTGGGCACATTTTCTTTACTAAATAATTTTCAAAATATTTGAACAATATTTGAGTACATGCAGTCATCTCTGCTACTGAAAATATTCAATTTCCTTTATGCATCACATTACTTTTTGGTGAAAAGTCTTTTAAACTAGCAAATGTATTTAATGTAATAATTCTTTACGTACGACAGCAAATATCAGCATGTTAACAGAAACATATTTTAGTACATTAACAACAAATATTAGGGATGCATCAACATGGGAACTGTGTACCGATGCTGATATTGTATATTTTTGAGCGCATATCTGACTATGCCAGTTTAGAAATTTACCTGGATTAGCACTACTGAGAAATGTGACATCATTTTTTGGAAGGTTTAGATTTTGTAAGATTACAAATGCAGTAAAATGAATAAAACACAGATATTTTAGTGTAGTAACCCAGCGACGCCTAAACATTCTGTTCTTCTGGAGTAAATACATCAGAAGAATCTGAACATAAATGACACTATTGTAGATACACTACATGGACAAAGGTATTGGGACACTACACATTACACCTACAGGAGCTTTTATGAATCCCATTCTAAATCCATAGGCATTAATATGGAGTTGGTCCCCCTTTGCAGCTAAAACAGCTTCCACTCCTCTGGGAAGCTTTCTACCAGATTTTTGAGAGTGTCTTTGTGAATTTTTGCCCATTCATCCAGAAGAGCATTTGTGAGGTCAGACACTGATGTTGGACGAGAGGGTCTGGCATACAATCCCTGTTCTAGCTCATCCCAAAGGTGTTCAGTGGGGTTGGGGTCAGGGCTCTGTGAGGGCCAGTCAAATTCCTCCACACCAAACTCACCCAGCCATGACTTTATGGAGCTGCTTTGTGCACTGGGGCTCAGTCATGCTGGAACAGAAAACGTTCTTCCCCAAACTGTTCCCACAAAGTTGGAAGTGTACAATTGTCCAAACTGTCTTGGTGCTGAAGCATTAAGATTTCCCTTCACTGGAACTAAGGGTTCTAGATCAACCCCTGAAAAACAGCCCCATATCATCATCCCTCCTCCACCAAACTCTACAGCTGGCACAGTGCAGTCAGGCAGGTAACGTTCTCCTGGCATTTGGCAAACCCAGACTCATCCATCAGACTGACAGATAGAGAAGTGTGATTCGTCACTCCACAATACATTTCCACTGTTCCAGAGTCCAGTGGCGGCGTGTTTTACACCACTCCATGTGACACTTGGCATTGTGCTTGGTGATGTAAGGCTTGCATGCAGCTGCTCAGCCATGGAAACTCATGCCATGAAGCTCCTGGCACACAGTTGTTGTGCTGATTTTAATGCCACAAGAGCTTCGGAACTCTGCGGTTATTGATCAGCAGAACGTTGGTGACTTCTATGCACTATGCCAGCTGTTTGGTGGAGGAGGGATGATGATGATATGGGGTTGTTTTTTAGGGGTTGGCCTAGAACCCTTAGTTCCAGTGAAGGGAAATCTTAATGCTTCACAAACTTAACTTGTTGCAATGGCGGCATCCTATTACAGCACCACACTCAGATTCAGTGAGCTCTTTAGAACGACCCATTCTTTCCCTAATGTCTGTAAAGGCAGGCTGCTTGACCAGGTGCTTGATTTTATACACCTGTGGCAATGAGACTGAATGAAACACCTGAATTTAGTGATCTAAGAGGTGTGTCTCTTTTTGTCCGTATAGTGTATGTTAATTAATTATTCCTCTTATTCATTCTTTCATTCTCATGTAGGCTTGCAGTCTCCATCAGGAAATCGGTGAAATCCAAGAAGTTAGAGAAATCATCGGAGGAGGAAATCAATGAGTATTTAGATAAGCTCATGCTGCATGATGTGGGCATGCTGAATCTATTTGAGACGTTTACTGAAAGCGTCCCACAGCTCGTTCTCATGATCACCCTCATCATGCAGGAGCAGCAGCTACAGCTTTTTACAGGTCAGATCAACCTTTAAAACCATCTTTCTCTTTGTAGAGTTGACCTCTCCATGTTCCGCCTACTAAATGCACTCTTTTGTAGCTACTGTTCAGTTTAAGTCAAGTTAGTGCCAACTTGGTCAGATGTGACCAGAGCAAGGACACTTCATTAAGTGCTCAATGGTCAGGACCCCCACAAAGCAAGTACTATTTGGGTGGTGGATCATTCTCAGCACTGCAGTGACAATGATGTGGTGGTGGTGTGTTAGTGTGTGTTGCGCTAATCTGAGTGGATCAGACACAGCAGTGCTGCTGGAGCTTTTAAACACTGTGTCCACTCTCTGTCCACTCTAGTAGACCTTCCTAACACACCACCACCACATCAGTCTTACTACAGTGCTGAGAATGATCCACCACCCAAATAGTACCTGCTCTGTGAGGGTCCATGGGGGTCCTGAGCACTGAAGAACAGGGTAAAAGGGGACAACAAAGTATGCAGAGAAACAGATGGACTACAGTCTGTAACTGTAGAACTACAAAGTGCACCTATATAGTAAGTGGAGCTGATAAAATGGACAATGAGCGTAGAAACAAGGGGGTGTTTCTAATGAAGTGGCCAGTGTATGTGTGTAACATTAACGGTTCAATAAAAAAAGCTGTTATTATTATTATTATTACTGTTATTATTATTATTATTATTATTATCACTACATGGAAGCTGATAATTTAAAGCCAATTCAGCAAAGGAATCCCTGTGTGTTCAGTAATGAGTATTAAAAGTATTTTTTTATGTTATAAAACATTTCATAAATATTATTGGACCTTTTTTTCAGGTTGTAAAATTGCTGGTTCACTCGCCTCAATCACCTACTGTCTGCTGTCCTACCATACAAGCATGCGCAAGCTTATCTCTAGAAAACAGAAGATGGGATGGTCCTCCTCTGCAGTTTTCTTCCTGTGGAACCTGTTCCTGATTACCCCTCGGGTGCTTGCTGTCGCCCTCTTTGCCTCCATCCTGCCCTGCTACATTGCTGCTCACTTCCTGTCCTGGTGGGTGCTGCTGTTTCTCTGGGCCTGGAGGCAGAAGACGGACTTCATGGAGACTGAAAGAGGTGAACGGCTCTATCGGGCCACTGTAGGACTCATCTGGTACTTCAGCTGGTTTAACGTATTGAAAGGAAAGACAAGAACCACAAACATCATCTACCATGCGTGCATGGGGGCCGACATTGGGCTGCTATTGGGCTTGTGGTTTTGGCAAAGATCTGTGGAATCAGCTCGTCTGAATCCTCTGCCAGTTAATCCGTATGTGCTGATTGTTACATTGCCTGCACTTTACATTACTGGACTCCTCTTAAAGCTGCTTTACTACTGGAAGTTCCACCCTCGATTTAAAGATGAGACGTCACACGCTGAGCCGCTGACTGAGCTACAAGCTGAGCCACAGAAGAAAATACCACATAAAAGAGCTGCAGTACTGAATGATTCTGATTCTGTCTCATCTGAAGAGTCTGAACCTGCCAATAGTAAGACAGATATGTCGCCTGCAGCACTGGATGAGCAGAATTCAGAGGCTGAACAGACAACGAAACCCCAACGAGTCATCGCTGATGTCCACAACAGGATGAAAAACATGGCTTTTAATTTCTAAAGACTAATTTAAAGGTGATACATAACATGTATGGCTAGTTTCCCTCATCTAAATTAAGCTTAAACCCCCTGTGTTTTCTGTCTAAGTAGGTTATTCTTGCTCATGTGGGATCACAGTATACCCGTCTAAAATATGCCCTATAAATGAATTTCCAGTGTGTGGCCTGAATGGCCGATGTATTGTGATGTAATCTGGGTGGTCCTAAACTTGGGTACTGTTTGCGTAAGTATCACCCGTTTGCATTAGGCTGACGTGGCTCCTTCGTCACAGCCTTCTGGTGTTGGGGTCAGAGGAACTCGCCTAGCAAACGCTAACAACCAAGCGGAGGCTAACCCAGCCAGTACAGCTAATGTATCAAACTAGCTCATCAGTCCTTCTGCCTGCCTGTTATCCCTTCATTCAATCATCAGGTCATCAAACCGGCCATGCTAGCATTACATGGACGCACATTCCACAGTTCACTGCATGCATTATTATTATATTTGTCATTTGGCAGACGCTCTTATCCGGAGCGACTTACAATACATTTTTACATGAGTAGGTGAAGATGTGTTAGGAGTCTTGCCCAAGGACTCTTGTTTGTATAGTGTAGGGTGTTTACCCAGACAGGGGGTTTGAACCACAGACTACAGGTAGAAGGAAGAGGTGTTACCCACTACGCTATACCACTATACACTACTAATTATTAGACACTTACTGTTTCAGGCAAAAAAAAAAAAAGGATTATTCTCTTGAACAGACACAATGCTTTGAACTTTATTTTGTATCAAAACAATGTTTAATATAGAAAAGAGACATGTGACTTTGTCAAGGGGGAAATGCAGATGTGCAATTATTAGGCAACTGCAGATGCCTTTACAAATTTAAATTTTTCTCAGTTTACGAGACAAGTTTATGGTTAGCAATATAAAATATAAAAATATTAAACCTTTACAACTTTCATCTTTACATTATCAGTTAGGTCCCTTTTTGACCTGCAGAAAAAGTTGCCTAATAATTATGCGCACATTCATTTAACGCTGCACTGTGTACGATTTTTGTTGTTCAAATTGAACAAAGTATCATTACTGAGTGAGGAGAATCAAAACAGGCTAAAATATGGTGAGTGTGCGCTGCTGCAAGTCGCCCTGTAAAGTCAGAGGTGTATAAAATAGTCGCCCTGTAAAGTCAGAGGTGTATAAAATAGTCGCCCTGTAAAGTCAGAGGTGTCGGGTCAGGAGTTTTTCCACACGACGTACGTCTTTACGAATTAACGTCACACAGGCTCATAAAGAAGGTACGGCTCAATGTTTAAGCCTCGGGTGCAAAATCAACATTATACTGATGAAGATGTGATGACAGTAGTGGATAATTCACTCAAATCCTCTGAAGACGCGTCCTTCACCAAGTTTAAACTGAGTTCTCGTTGAATTCTTGTTTAATCACCAAATTCATCCACTACAAAATGTTCTTCCATGCACGTGCAATTACACATTTCCTCCAGAGAGGTCTCCAAATCCCCAAATCTTACATAGTGCAGCTTTGATGTATTTCTCACTTTGAGCTACACCCTCTCACATGAAGCACTTATATCCTCTCAAAAATGTTTCTACACAATGATTATTTAGGTCAATATGGTTTGGAAAAATGTGCCTGGAACAAATATATGATCGTAAAACCAAATTACCTAATAATAATGTACACACATTACAGTAAATAAGAACCTTTTTTAAGGTGTGGCCATATAAGAGCTGGATAATGTGTTTAGTGAGTAGACACTGAGCTTTACAGCACCACCTGTATATGTAGCACCCATTTCATTTCAGTCAGTTTTCACTGCTTCACTCACGCTGCTGTTTAGTTCTGCTTCTGTGCTGTAAGCAGGCTGGGAGTGTTTGACAGTGATGTCAGTCAAACCTGCTCATTATAATAATAGGCCACGCCGAAGTTCTCAAATTGGTCTGATAAGCATTTTTTAAGCAGTGTTTTATTTTCATTTTTTCCATTCACACTTTACTGGATGCTTAACACTAAATTTTAGCAGCATACAGATATTTTTAATATTTTTACACAAAGTTTATGGAGTTTTGATAGTAAAATAAATGGCAAATGAGCCAGTCTAAAGATTATATGTAGACTATATAAAGGGCTACTTTTTTAACTACATTCTGGTGCTTCAGGATCTTTTAGACCTTTTTATGGTGATAGATTTTATAAAGATATATGATGATGGACTTTGTTGTTATTAGTGTGCAAGTGGGTTTAAACTATATTGATGTCTTTGTAGTTATTCTAGTATGAGGCGTTGTGTGTACAGGTAAAATGTTTGCTTTGTTAAAAACAATTTGCATGTAATCTTTTGATAAAAGGTCTGAAAAGATTAAAAGACATATTTCTGATCTGGGAGATCCAGCCTGTGTTTCCTTTCAGCAACGACACCAACGGCACATTCAGCTTTAAAAGGTTTTATTTACGTTGCCACAAACATCCTTATAGTACACAGGAAAACTTCTCTGGGCCAAACAGTATTCCGGTCCCATACAAAAGAGAAAAAAAAGTGAAAATTGCATCTCACTTGAGTACAATATTTATTAAACTTCCTACTTAGATTTCCTACGTAACACGGTCAAGTTGAGCCAGTTATGTCAGCATGAGGCTACACGTTCTCGCAACTTTGTATTTGACAGAATTCATTCACACTTAACAGCCATTCTAGTTGAAGAAATCATAGTATACACATAGTCTACACTGGACGGTTGGGCGTGACTAATTTGTCATAGCTGCGTATTTCTTTAGAGCACACGGTTCTGGACCAGAGGGACGACTTCATAGCGCTTTCGAGCTTAGTTCCAAAACATCCGCTTCTTCAGCACAAATTAAACGCATGTCTTGAGCTTAAACTGGGAGCAGCGCATCAAAAAGTGACGTGCTTTCCTCAAAATCATGGAAAAAAAAAAACAGAAACAAAGCCGAAAAACATCAGAGATACTGTTTGCCACAAGGGCAGAAAGAAAACATCTGGACCTCACAGGCTAAATGCATGAAGGCCTCCTCATGAAAATGAAACACAAACACTATGATTTCCCTTTTAGGCTGGATGTGCTAAAGACTTAAAAGGTCCAACCCAAGACCCTAAGAACTGTACAACCTTGCTATAAGAGATGGATCTGTTTTACAGCTTCCTTGATTGTCCATGCGTTTAAGTCTCAAAGTGACTGAGTGAGAAAAAAAAAAGATCATTTTCTCATCACTTTATACTCGCAAAGGGCTCAGCTGTATCAGAACAGCATGTAAAAGCAGCGTTTATATGACAGCACAGGGAGAAATGAGAACGATGGACGCACTATGACACTTACGGAGAGAGATTCGGAACAGACTGATCATAGCTTCAGCACCAAATGACAGAAAAGATACATAAACATTAAAAAAGGCATAATAAAAACAAAACAGGAGCACTTCCACTCGCACACACACAAAAACAAACATTTGCATGTCTTGCCATATTTCAGCAAATCCCTTTACGATGATGCGTTTATGTAGAGTTTATAGTTAAAAGGCACAATATAAATAAGTACAGGAGGAAAAATAAACAAAAACAACGAACACCCAGACGCACAAAGGAGAGTAACACATTCGTAATTGTCAAAGCTGCTTGTGTAAAAATGCTTTTTCTTTAGGCTCAGTATTGTTCAGTCAAAATCTCACAGCGTCAACCCTCCCACTCTCACCGCCGCTCAAAGGGGAGATACACCGATTTTTCAAAATCTCTGCGTTATTAAAAAATTGTAAACAAAGTAATTCAGGGTGGTTTGAAGTGAAATGATGCTTTGTAGAGAATTTTACTGACTCAGATTTCTTTACAGTGGTGGTGACAGAGAGGCCACGATGTCCACAACACAAATATAACCACTTTAAATGATATCCAAAATGACCAGTGACCCTACCTGTCAGGTTTTATACACCAATCAGGCATAGCATTCTGACCACCTCCTTGTTTCTACGCTCATTGTCCATTTTATCAGCTCCACTTACTATATAGGTGCACTTCGTAGTTCTACAGTTACAGACTGTAGTCCATCTGCTTCTCTGCATAGTTTGTTAGCCCCCTTTTACCCTGTTCTTCAGTGTTCAGGACCCCCAGGGACCCTCGCAGAGCAGGTAATATTTGGGTGGTGGATCATTCTCAGCACTGCAGTTAAAACTCCAGCAGCACTGCTGTTTCTGATCCACTCAGACCAGCACAACAAAACACCCTAACACACCACCACCACATCAGTGTTACTGCACTGCTGAGAATGATCCACCCAAATAGTACCTGCCCTGTGAGGGTCCATGGGGGTCCTGACCACTGAAGAACAGGGTAAAAGGGGGCTAACAAAGTATGCAGAGAAACAGATGGACTACAGTCTGTAACTGTAGAACTACGAAGTGCACCTATATAGTAAGTGGAGCTGATAAAATGGACAATGAGCGTAGAAACAAGGAAGTGGACATAAAGTTATGCCTGATTGGTATACGTAATGTTAATGATAGTAAAATAGTGGAAAATATACAAAAAAAAAACAAAACATTTGTTTGCCTTACAACACCCTGCAGGTACCTCTCTGCCATGAATGGATTAAAAAAAAATTGATGCCAAACCTTTCTGTCATAAGGTCTCAGACATCAGACAAGATATTCAGAACCATTTCATGTAATTAAGTTTCTGTGAAGGAGCTTTTAGAGGCAGTAAACACTTCAGACGTCTGGACGTCACCACCACTGTACACACTTCTGCAAGTTTTTCTAGAACAGCAGATCAAGCCACTCTGAATGACTTTGTTGGCATGTTAATCAGGATTTGTGAAAAACTGGTGGAGTTCCCCTTTAACATACTTTCAGTTGAAAGATTGAACATTAATTACCGACCAAAAAACGTATTGCACAGACAATTTCCTCCCTCAACACGTGTCCTTAATGAGCTAGTTATGAGCTGGAGCTGAACTATTCAACTGGTGAGCTACACTTTCACTTGTCACTTTTTGGCTATTCAAAATAAAAGAGAAAAAAAATGGAGCTCTGCAAAATTACCCTACAGTGTCACTGAAGTCTGTGAACGAGAAGTAAATAGTTCTACTTTCTTCATGTGGTCAAGAGGTTTTGTACAGTACTCACCAGATGTATCACATGGTTAGTGTGACTGCCGTCAGCTGTATAACACTGTAGTGTCGACACACACCGTATCAGACACTGCACACGTTAAACTCAGCTTCTGGTTCACCAAAGCGTAAATGCTTAGCACGAGGGTAGTCTCAGTTCCCTCGGAAGGACACTTCGGACTATGCTCAACAAAATAGAAAAATTCCAAACGCCATTCAGGACATGCTGCTGACTGGAAAAATAACACCATTAATATGGTAACCAATAACAATGCCTGGTCCTGCTGTCCAATGCAAATTAAACAGCCAAAGATCCAAATCATCTGCTTGTTTTTGATAGTAAGGGGGTTTATGTGTAAAGGCATGTGGCAAATGAGGAACATTTAAAAGACACCGGAAATGAACTGAGGTCTATGGTAAACCCTGTAAGTACCACTTGAGCACAGGTGTAAAAAAGAAAAAATAAATTTGCTGAAGTAAATGCATGAAAGTTTGAATAACAGAAAGCTTCTCTAGTCAGGCTTCTCAACAGATCCAATTCTCTATAATGTTACGCTTTGGAATGAGTGCAAAATGACTTTTAAAGCAAATATATGCATGATCAAGAACACAAACGAGAGGATAAAATCTGAAAATAACAAAAATCACCCAAAAGCTTTCATGCCAGTGCAGACCTTTGGTCTTTCCTTTGGTGAATCCAGTTGTGATGGAGATGGTTACGTTAGCAGCCCTTTCGCAGTGGGCTGGCAGTAAGTGGGCCATGGTCATGTTCACATGGATCACGTCTTTAAAGATGTGTAGCAGTGCCAGGCTCAGCCCCAGGGTAACGTAGCTGCCGCAAAGTTAGTGGAGAGCCGAGGCTGAGAGGGGTAAAAAGAGCCTTCCGTCAGCACAGTCTTCTCCAGTTTATAAGCACTGACTTTACAAACTCCGCCTTAGTCAGCTCCCAGCAGGTGTCCGTAAGGTGAAGGGTGGATGTCCGTTATTTTGAGCCAAGGTGTGACCGAAGACCTCCTTGCAACGTGTGAGGTTATCTGTTAGCGTCCAGCTGCTCCAGCTCTATAAGAAATCCAGCTCCAGAGCTTGGTGCAGCGACACCAGGTCCCCATGAGCAGAGATACGCCAGAAGGGCATGTTGTGCTGCAGAAACACAGTGTTCGTCATTTGTATAGTGTACATTAGGGTGGATGTGGTTATTTAAATATATGGACATTGAAACTCAGCATTCATTTACTGAAGCGGGTATTGTAAGTAATGCAGTGGTACGCAGATCAGCATTTAGAGATGCCCAGATGGTCCACATTTTACCCTATCCCAGGTCCCAGCACACTTGAACCAAGCCTTTACAAACACTGAAAAGCTGGTACAGGAGTGTTCAGGGCTGGGTATGAGCATAAACGTGGATCAGCTTGATGGCCCTGAGGACTAGTTTGAGAACATCTACAGTAAGGAGTATGTACTTTGGAAAGAGACTTGTCTTGACTTGTAATTTTTTGTAGGTCTTTGACTGAGTGTCTACAAAGATTTGCAAAGAATGTTGTGGCACAAGCATTTAAGCCAAAAGACCACATCTTCGCAAAGCTGCTGGCAAATTTATATTTATGTCACAAAGACAGATCGCTAAACCAGTGGAATAATGAAGCACAGATCACCTCTTATGCTAGATAAATGCAATAAACTACATGTTAAACTTTGTAATTTCCATTTTCATTTATAACAATATGAAAAAAAAAAAAAACAATGGGATACTCCTATACAATTTGTTTTGTATATGCAGACGTTCAAACAGCCAAAATGGTTAAAATGTCCTCCCCTAGTTTTCAATTTGCATAAGGGAGGATAAAATACAAGTATGACGACCGCCTGCAGCAGTTACAACACTAAAGACAAGGTCAGAGTCCTTCAAAGTCAGAATGGTCATGTGTTTGACAGATGGTATGTGCCTGCTGTACCTGCTTAGCTGCAAACTCCTCCTCTCGGCCATCTCCTATAACCACATAGGTCACCTTCTTCCCAAAGCGAGACACAATACGCTCAAAGCAGCTCTCTTTTCCTGTAAATTGAAAGAGTTGTTGAGCACCCAGTATCCATAACAAACAAAAAAAGAAAAAACAAAAAATAAGATCCTTAAACAACAGGCTTATCTAGTGCTTAATCTCGGGGCTTATTATCTCATAATTACTACAATACTTCTTTGTAGGTTAGTTATAAGAGTGAGAAAATAAATTCCAGACCACTAATCAGAGACCCGTAAGCGTCTCTGATTAGGAGTGCTGAGTGCTAATCTAGAGGTCAAAGTAGACAAAAGAGGAATTTGATCCTAAATCAGCCCACTTACTCTAAAAAGCTTTGTGAATGTGGGCTTTGGACCATCTGAGAGGTCCTTAGAGTTTGAAGACTTAACAACCCAGATGCCTCATGCATGCAATAAAGAGGCACGTTGATTCATAAAGAAAGATTCAACATGGGCTAAAAAACTACACAGTAGGAATGGATCAGACTGTTCAAATATTCAAAGTCTTAAAAAACTAAAACGCTGTTGTTGGAAGAAAACCTCTTCTGTTCTGGCTGCTACTTCAGTGACTGCTATGCTGCTAACGTGTCATAGTATGTTACTTCCTCCTTGGTACATCTACATTCTCTCAGTACCGTGTACTGCCTGTGTTCTGTTTTTTGTATTTATTGTGAGTCTTTTGTATTTATTGCACTCTATTGTCTGCACTGTGTCTATTGTATTGTTTTACACTTGTGTTCCTGTGTTGGCCCTGGAATGTTGTTTTGTTTCACTGTGTACTTCTATAGAGCTGAAATGAGAATAAAACGTCTTGAACTTGATTCATTCGGCTAACTAACCTGTATCAGCTAACTAACTCTTCAAAAACTCACAGCTTTCAAGCTAAAAGGTGTGAGGTGAAATACGACATGACAGGCTAGTAACATTAGCTGAGCTGTTTATCTTAAAGACTTTATCTTGACGCCTTTGAGCAAATTTCAAGTCACACGTCACATACTTTGGATTTGTGATCTCGGTTACAGATCTGAACATCATACTTGACTTTGAATGTTACCTATTTTAGTGGCGCTGTAGATGCTGTCGACAGGGAAAACGTCTCCCAGGCCGTAGAGGAGAACTTTAGCCAGAGCCGGGACGAGCTGAGTGGTGGTGACCAAAACATTCATACATCTACCCCTGCACACAAGACCAAAGACCATCAGCACTCAACTCAGCTTAAATGCATGTCACCACATCAGTGCATATTTCACTACTGTGCCATGTTATCTCCCTCTGCGCCAAACCATGGTTGTTTTCACTTCATTTTGCATAGCCTAATTAAGGGAAGCATCTGAATACAGTACTCTTTTAGTGGTTCTCCTTTTTTTCAAGGGTGAGATCAACATGACATTAAGGCCCAATCCCTTTTCTTCTTTTTACCTCTACCCCTTGTTCTCGAGTGTCACCCTATCCCCTTGTTACAAGGGGTAGTGGTTGAAATCTTGCCCTATGAAATGGGAAAACACTCAAATAAAAAAAAAACAAAAAAAAAAACATTGCTTCATTAACAGGCTACTAGCAGTGCTTTTAGGCGACCCAGCCCGTCTTCAGTGATAGTAGAGATGGAAAATGTTCAGCAACCTCACTGTTGGACTTTAGTTACATTTAGGGCATCATATGCCTTCAAAGAGGGGGTATAAGACAATTATTTATGATCAGCCACCGCTAATTCTTTGGTGATAAATCGGATTTGGCCTAAGCTACAATGACACAAAATGCTATATGTGCTGGAGGCTGCTTTGCAGCTGTCAATGGGAAATAATCTGAGAGAGCATTACAGCTGGATATTTGAGACAGTTTATGTCTCAATGAAATCACTTAAGAGGTTGCATAGCAGAGTTAAGGAAAACCATATGACAGAACAAAATGAGATGAACAATGACAGGTGCCTGGTTAATCCTATGTCTTCTAAAGCACTTCACTCAGAGGGATGGTAGTAAGAACACTTCTTCAGGGAGCAACTTTAAGTTCAGTGCTGCCGGTCTTACTGGCTCGGGTCCAGAGCCGCAGGCCTCACCTCGACTGAATGAGCAGGAGAGATTTGATGGCGGTGCTCAGCCAGCCATCAGTCACGGTCTCAATCTCAGAGCGCACCCTGAGCAGCAGCTCCCTCTTCAGGGGACTCAGCAGAGCTGCAGAGAGAGAGAGAGAGAGAGAGAGAGAGAGAGAGAGAGAGAGAGAGAGAGAGAGAGAGAGAGAGAGAGAGAGAGAGAGAGAGAGAGAGAGAGAGAGAGAGAGAGCTGTCAGCCAGCCAGAATTGCTAATGCTTTTTAGTCTTCTCAACCCTTTTAGAGCTGATCTAAAGTCATTCATTGTTGCTTAGAACTGAATGGACCACATCTCAGAAAACTACTTTCTTTAAATATTTGTGATGTTTCAAAACAAACTGTCCACTCTACACTCCGTACATATGGAAATTAAGCCGCCAAAGCAGCCCATTTTGAATTGTGAAGTCTGGAAAACCAACGCATTTACATCTATCTGCCTATTCAGCAGTTTAGCTCTGCCCATTCATCAGTCTGAAGGAGTGTTTCAGCCCAGACTTTTTGAATGAAGCACAGTCAATCAGAACTGAGCTAATTTACATGCATCAGTCGTAAAGGTACAGTACCAAAAAATGGCCTGTTTAGTTCTAAGGGATAAAGAGAGTTTGTAAAATTATTAAGTAAAATGAGTTACCACTGTTTTCGGTACATAAAACTACACCCATGTTATAAATGGACCTCAGTGCGGGGAAAAAGGCAAAAACAAATGCAGGATACAAGCCCTTTAACTGGAGCTGGGCGATATGGCCAAAAATGTTATCACAATAGATAAATTTCATATCGTTCAATATCGATACATATCGTGATAAATGTCAAATCATTATTTCTTTCAAGTTTGAAGGCTGATCTCTGCTCCTGAGTGGTTAATTGCTGTTTTAAACTGTCCTTTATGGTCAGAACATGAGAAACACTCGCCAAACAGTGGAACATTTCACAAATCTGTCTTGGAATAGCACGGGAAAATTTCAGGTCAGCTATTTTTATCAGCTGGAAAAGTACAGCCGCAATTTTGTAGTAGTCATAATTCAAGAAAGAAAACATTATTTTAGCTATCTGGTGACGAGCGCTTGGCTATCCCGTTACAAATGCTAAACAAGTGGCCAACAACAGTGCAACAACGTCATCTTAGTAGAAACAGCAAACATTAGCTGGCTCGGTAGGTCAGTGATGGATCACACTGCCTCACTGCCATCACTCCTACCACATCCATATCAAAGCATGTCACAGTATTCAGACACCAGCTAGCACGACTGGATTTCTCTATTGTATCGTAGTAGTTTAAGGGGTGAACCGCAATATATCTGACGCTCGCTGAGTAAAAGCATCAAGTGCAGTGTGATTCTCTCACATTTCAGACGTTGCTAAGGTATATTTGGTGACAAATTTCACTCCTTGACCCATTTATTATACATTTCTTATATTTCTATCGAGGAAAGTTACATCGCGATAATCATCATTATAGTTTTATCGCCCAGCCCTACCTTTAACCTACCAATTCTTCTGTTACAAATGCATACAGAAATTCACCCTGGTATAACAGATAAGTCACTTGAGCTTCACCTTGCTAAAGCTTTATGCTTTACTTTGTTACATAATGTCAACATATTGTTGCATTTACTGTGTTTGCCATAATGTCAGGATTTTTCAGGCACAATTTCAGCAGCTAGCTAGTGACGCAGGCTATGACGTTAACTTAGGTAGGTAGCAGTGTTAAAAGAGGTCATGTTTAGGTCAGATATTTATCCATAAAAATCTCAATTACACAACAGAAAAACAAAAATAAACAATGTGTTACCATCTGTCCTACAATTTCTTACAAGGTTGAACTGGATTTGTTGACCTTCTGTTAAGCTTCTCCAGCCTCAATGTACTCATTGGTCAATAAAATGTACATTAAAAAAATACCATTTAAAACACTGAGATGCATTAAATCCAGTTAAACGTGACTCATTACGCTCTCTTATAACCACAATGAGAATAATTTATCACAGTAACGATGAATGGTGCTTAAACCATTGTTTTGGGTAGGGGAATATTCCGACTGGACATGAAAATAACGCTGAGAAACTTCATGTTTATTTCAAGTCTAGAGCTGGAATGTGGCAGGTCTCACCTCCTACGTTCCCTTTGTATCCATTGTAGATCTCTTTGAGGCGGCGGTACCTAAAGGCCAACTTCCGCATCCACTCCACTCCTCCTTGCACTCCTGCAGTGGAGCCCTGCCCCCCTGCTCCAGCAGCTCCATTGAAGCCATCACTCGCAAAGTTATAGTTGCTGGAGGAGGAGAGTTTTAAAAAGTTTTTTTTTTTTAATATCAAGAAATCTACAAACATTCAAAAGAAAATTTGCCATGTTAAGTAAAGTAAAAATGAACGTAAAAAAATATAGCTAAAGTATAAAATGAGCCAAAAAGAGATACATCTGTGAATGTGTGCATATGGACAGGGTCTGAGAAGACGTATAATCCAGTGCTGTTTCTAATATATTACCGATTATGACTAAATTACTAGTCTAGCAATACCTTAGATCTTGTCCGTTGTCATCAGAGGCTACATCTTCAACGTGGACCTGATCACACTCCTGAACTCAGAGACATAGGGCACAGGTAAAAATCCCCACAGATCCATGACAAAAAAAATGGTTCAGCCCAAAGAGAAAGAGAGAAATAGGAGTTACCTCCAGATCATTGAAAAACAGATGAGTGTCTGCTAGCTCAAAAATCAGCTCCTCCATCTGCAGCCCCAGGTTCAGGACTGTGGCTGGGTCCTGGAGGGAGAAAAACAAAATCTAAATAAAACAGCAGAAACTACCACAACACAGAATTTATCACAACACAGCTCTGGTTCATATTACCAGACCAAGCAGCAAAACTGGCTTTTTAACATGTTTTTTTTTTTTATGTACAAATTGCCACATTAGGTAAAAACAGCTTTGGAAAGTTTGTAGATAGGGACAGGAAGATACTTGCTAAATAACACTAGTTGTGAGATGATGAAAAATACTGATCTATGATCTGAAAAAACAGATTAAAATTAGATATTTATATCCTCCTCCAGCAACTATATATAAAAAACAGTCTATTTCTTGAATTCTACATTGCGCCCCCCCACCATTGCTCAGATTTCATCCAATCTGTGTGATAGCATCCATCCCCTCAGAAGAATATAATATATGAATATAAGATAAGAATATAAGAGAGCTCAGTTTCCTTAGAGCTGATTCAGAAAGATACGTAACTGCAAATTCCAAAGAAGTTACCCTCTGTGTCTACTCTTTCCTACCCTTTCTGCATTTTCAGTACCTTGCCAAACTTCTGTGCAAATGACCCCGTGAGGAGAGAGTGGAAAATGATGATAGTTTCATCCAGATCCCACAAGAAGATTCTCTGTTGAAGATAGGAGAACAAAGGATTAAGTTAAATTACCCTTTATTAATCCCACAACGGGGAAATTCACCTCCGCATTTAACGCATATGTGCAGTGAAACACCTACATTAGGTACACTAGTGAATGCACACACACTAGGGGGCAGTGAGCACACATGCCCAGAGCAGTGGGCAGCCCTATCCACAGCACATGAGTCATATCCTGTCAGTTCAGGGGATTGAGCCTCCAGCCCACAACTGCCCCAAGTTCCAGATGAAGGTTTAGATTTAAAAAAGGGTTTACAATATCATTTTTTAAATCATTCATGTCCACACAGATTGTACCTCCAGGTCGTTGTCAGCAGACTGAGAACTGTCTGGTTTCTTGGCTTTGCCTTTAGCTTTGCTGGGAGGGTTCCTACGGGCGCTTTCATCCTGGTCTCGGGCTGCGGCAGACAGTGGAGCTCCGGCAGGCAGAGACGCACTTGCTGTGAGGGTCACATCTGGAGAGGTGGCTAAGAGAGAGAACTTGGGTCAGGTTTAAAAAGACAATCATTTTTCATAGCTCATTTTTGCCCTACATTTAACCTACTTTAGTTTTCTCCAACCATTAGCCTTCCTCACTGCACTTATTACATTAAATATTTTTAATCTGGCATATGGAATCACTTGTGTTGTTGGCATCAAGGTCCACGAGGCCGAAGTGTGCGTGAAAATGGATGCAATTTAAGTAAAACAGCAATAAGAAAAATACACTCTAAAATAATATTTAAAAAAACTTCCACTATTATTTAAATTCTATTTTTTAACTTCACGGCTATGTCCTTGCCATCGCATACTCTGCCTTTCTGCTAGTATGCGATTGTGACTTTGCTGTATGTACAAGTAAAGACTTGAACAGAAAACCTGTATCAGCATGTCACAGTGGCATTATCACTTTTCAAGAGTTTTTAAACTGGTATCTTCTGCACTCCGATTGTTATCACTGAACAGCTGGCACTGCAAACAAAATATCAGCTCATGGCACGCAAGTAAGACAACTGAAAATGTGGCTTGCATTTTAAAACACTTCAATGTGAAAAACTAAATCATTCTACATGACATCTGATGTGCAAGCGAGTGTTTTTCTGAAAGGTGGTTCTCATCTTTACTTTTTTTTCTGTATTTTTGTGCAATTCTTGTCGCTGTCTTAATTGTGGTTGCCAGTTCCCACTCTCCTTTGCCACCTGGGGGTGCTAATGTGCTTCAACTGCAGCACATGTTGCTGGCTATTCTTTTGAATTAACACTCACACTGTATCACAGGACACCTGAAGAGCACTGCTCACTTCTGTACATGTGCCCTAACAGACACACGTAATTGGTCAACAATGTTGTGAATAGAGAGGAACAAACCATTCTCCCTCACAATAAAGGCAAGCTCAATTGTGGACTCCTGGCTGAGGCTGGCTAGGGCAATCCCAGAAATAAAACAGAGGTCCCACTCTGATATGATGCACATATTTTGTCATGCATATTTTAAACTTACCTACTGCTTTTCTTAGGTTAAGAAATAGACTTGAACAGTTACTTGAATACATTTTTTGCCACAAAGTGTTTGGCCTTCTTTCAAAGCTGATTCAATATTAATTGTTGAAACAATGCAATAATCAGTCCTTTACTCAATTAATAACAATCAACTAACAGCTCTAGATTGAACCCTCCAGGCCAAATAAGTCACTAGGGAGCTCAGAGGATTTGTGTTTTACTGTAATATATTGTTGTCCAGTTTTCCCTTTTACTGGATTGTGGCATGTGAGACGATGTGGTAGAGCTGAGGGGTACCTGTGGCGCTGGGCAGGCCTGCAGAGGCACTGTTCTCGGTCTTGACGGCAGTGTAATTCGGGTCCACCACACCTGCTCCATCCCCTTCACTGCTGGGTGGAGCAGCTGGCAGGTAACTAGGAGGTGGGGCATAGTACTGGGGGAACTGGTTCTGTCCCAGAGAATTATAGCTGGAAAAGTCCTGAAAACAGAAAGGAAAAAGAAAGAACAGTCATTAAAATGTGTACATACTGTCATTCTGTCATACTGACATTCCAATGTATTGAAGTCAGTGATATTAATGATATTTATACATTCATGCCAGTCAAAAAAGATAAACAATTAAAACAAACGAGATAAAAAACGCAGAGTCCAAGTTTTTCATCTAGTAAACATAACTGCAGTTTCTTTTATTTGCTTTTATGGGTTACAATCACGCAAGTAAAATTCTACTTGAGGTATATAAATACCTGTTTCCATGTAATTTCCCTTGCATTACAATACTTGATGTGTAGTGTACTGTAATGTAACTGTCGATGTCCAATCTAATCATGAGTGTGGAGAAAATGTGATCACAAAATAGGGATGTCTAGCAGATGAGAATTATTTCAGAATTTCTTAACTCCAATATTAAGAATATTAAGAAGTTCTTCCATAACATGGAAATTTCATAACATGACATAGCTGAAAAAAAAACCCTTGGGAAAAACTTTCAAAGAAATATGTAAAAATACTTTATTTTTTATGTTTCCTTTCAGAAGGTGCTAAACACTCACCTGATGTGTAACAGTGGCTGGGGCTGTTGTAACAGCGGTGGCTGAGGGCATGTTAGTGTACACGCTGGATGTAGTGAAGCAGGAACCTAAAGCGACAACACAACACATCCCAGAAGACCCACAGAGATATGAGGAAAAGATACTGTTGCAGTAAATTGAGGAGTACTAAAAACTAAAATATTAAATCAAACGAAATATAACTTCTTTATGAAAATGAATGACACTTTTGATGAATGAATCATGAGAACGTCCTCCAATGCACAGCACTGTACTTGATGGGGATGTACATCATGACCGATAGATCTGAAGGTAGTGATTCAACTCCAACCATTTTGAAAATGTTATAACTGATTTTAACCCTTTAAGGAAGAGGTAAAAAAGTGACAACTAATGCTGTTTTATCTGATCTTTTCCATTAATCACGTGATTTAATGATTTTACTGTTACTAATGCGGACATGCATGCAGGGTTAATCCTTTGAAGGCAGATTTAAAAGAGCGGCTTTGTCAGGTTCATGAGGTGAATCAAATTAAGTAGTATTCAGTAAAGAACCCACTTATTTTTGGATAAAATAAAAGGCTATTTTCTAACTTAAAAATAACAACCGAATAGTATAATAGTGATATTAGAGATTCCATAATGTAACTGAAATGCTTCCTAAAGAACAGCAATCAAATCAAGGTCAGAGATGTACACCCATATAGTGTCTGAGGATGTTACAGTGTAATCTTCAAAAACACAGCTGTATGCCAGACTATAATCTTGTATAAAGAAGTCAGTGGCAAGCAGAGCGCTCGGCGAGAAGGCAGAAAAACAGAGGGAGTGCAGCAGCAGGCTTGCCTTGGCTGGGGTAGGAGTAGTGTGCCTGGCCCTGCTGAGTTGTGGTATAGGCTGAGCTGAAGTTGAGAAACCCCATCTGGCCAGCAGGGGGCACCTCGTGCAGCAGCCCCGGCTCGTTCTTAATGCCTGGCCACATGGCACCTATGGTCAGGCACGGACAGAGGCGTGGGCGGAGAGATGGAGCAACAGAAGAGCAAACAAAAATGATAAAATAAAAATGAATAAATAAATGGGAGGAAAAACGCAGAGAAAAATTAGAGAGCAGAAAAGAGGTGAGTTGGAAAGTGAATGAAGGAAAGTTGCAACGTGAGTGTATTAAATGGTTTAAACGCAGAGTGAGCATTCGTGTTACAGTGGCATGGCAGTGGAATCAGCTGGCAACTGAATTAATGAATGAAAACATGGGTGATGGAAAGAAGAGCAGGACAGACCGAATGGGGGCAGGCCGTACGTCTGGCCTGTTTGACTGAAGGTGCTGTACACAGCTGACTGGCCCAGAGAAGGGAAAGCCACCTGGCTTCCATAAGCAGTAACTGCAGGGCTGAAGGACATGACAGAGAGATCTGTATTTTTATCTAAATACATAGGGTGGGTGACATGGTAAAAATATAAGATCCCGAGAAGTGAAGACATTTTACAATACATGTCATATATCACAATATTTGGCTTTATCTAGGAATGCATGATGATGTTGGAATTATAGTGGTATTGGCAGAAATCTTTTTAAATATTCTTAAATAAAACAATTTCATATATATATATATATATATATATATATATATATATATATATATATATATATATATATATATATATATAAAAAAGCTATTGGCATCAGTCCACAATTTCAGTACTGTGCTTCCCTAATTTTTTCAGGAACCAATATTTTTCATGTGTATCAGCTGAGATTGATACACAAATCTTTATATAATATAGAAATTGGGAATGCATCCACCTGGATTAGCATTACAGAGAAATATGCATTTTTTGTATTGTTACAAATAGTGTAAAATGTATAAAATGCAGATATTTGGCATAATAACCCAGCGTCACCTAAACATTCTGCTTTTCCAGAGTACAACAGATTTGAAATATTGGTCAAATCTAATAATTTTTTTTCAGCAATTAACTGCCAGTACTGATATGTTTTCAATATCCTCGTGCATCCCTAGAAAACGCACCAACAAAACATCAGTGTTGCATTTAAAAAAGGTGACGCAAAAGTCACACAACTGGTAAAAATTAGTGAAAAATAAGCCACAATGGGCTGACATCCAATCTGCTACTTGTTACTATGGGGTTCATACAGTTAGGTTGTTGTTGTTTACAGGCTCTCTATAATACTGGTCTAAATATATATTTTTCATGATCCATGCAGTTGTTTAGTGTTCTAGAAGCACTAGCTATAAGCATCATATACTTCACTGTCCATAAATATCACTGTCCATCTCTAGGTTCCTATATTAAAACACTTCAGTTCTTACTTGCTTCCTTGGTAGATCTGTGAGGTATATTCAGAGGCTGTGGCTGTGAGCTCTTTGCATGTTTCAACTGGAGGGGGAAAAAACATAACATTACATGTTTTCTGATCATATTTGAACTTGTATAATACGTATAACGCCAATACCACCACCACCACCACCAATAATAATAATGATATTATTAATAATAATACCTTTATCATTATAGGAGCTATCTGTGTCACAGGTCTTGGTTCTTGATATTTCTTGATTTGACTGTTCTTGACTTCCAGAAACTGACAAACATCGAGGAAAATTTACAATGCATGTATGTGACTAACATCAGCTTAGAATCAGCTTGTTGAGTTCCTAGAGCTCTGAGGAGAAAGCAGAGAGAACTTCACTCACTTGTATCGAGGTGAGTTGCAGATGTTGGAGGGTAGGTGGTGACATCTGACCCTAAAACAGCTGGATCACTCCTGTCAGGGGAGTTACTGTTGTCAAAAGAAATCTCACCCCTGCAAAATAACAACTATGGTACATGAGACATGTGCTAAACATGTGCCTGTGCTCTCCATACATACACCAAAACACTGAGGCCCAGTGACAGAGTTAAAGTAGTCTGACGAGCCTTCAAGTGCACTTACATTTAAATGTAAATGGTGTGCTCGCTATAGAACTAAAATGGGGGTTCCTTAGGGGTTATTTAGTAAAGGCAAGAGTTACATACAGAACCAGAACAATTCAAAGAAACATCTAAATGCTTAAATTTATGCTCTTTTTGTAGAGTCCAGTAACTGTTCACCATATTTGAGCACCTGTTGTATGGGGCTTTTTAAAGAACCTATTGAAAAATGGTTCTATAGAGCACCAAAAGGGGTACTGTCACATGTGAAAGAACCTTTTCTTAGTTCTATATAGAATCTTTTTTGCAATAAGTTTATAGTGTGTGAAAATGTCAAAACAAATATTACGCAGCAAGCCAAAGAAAAAAAAATGTGTAGCTGAATAGATAAAAACAACTTTATTACTTCAATTAGAGTTAAATGGATAAAAAACTGGGCTACAGTACTGGGCAAAGGTTTTAGGCATCTGACAAAATATGTAAAGCTATTTATTTGGCAGCAAGTCTTTGTTTTTTTTAACAAAACACTATAATTAGAATAATACAAATAAAAAAAGGACAATAAATGGTGATTTGATGTCTGTCGTTGTGTTAGCTTGTATTCTTCTAACGACAGATTTTTTTGTTTTACTGTATTCCTGTTCATATTTATTCTAATGTTAAATGTTATACAGTGTTTTTATTGGCAAAACACTTACTGCCCAGATAGTTTTAAACAGTTTTTCCATGTCAGTCTAAGCTGTCTTGCACAGTATTGTATGTGACTGAGATAAGCAGCCAAAAAGGACATTGCTGTGTATTGAAATTCATTGAGGCTGTACGAGACAATTTACAACACAGTGAAAGATTAAATGAAACAGAGATTAAATGAACTGCCATCTCTGTTTTCTGCTTTGGTTAGAATCTGTCCTTTGGTTCTATCTCACCCCCCAAAACCAAAAACAAATGGCAATCCGAAAAAAGAGGGGAAAAAAAATAAACAACGCACCTTGGATCCTTGTCCTGGGTGACTTTCAGGTCATGCCGGGCTTTCTTTGCCTAATAAACATAATGGATATAACAACTTGCAACCAAAATCTCTCTTATAATAGTTTTCTGCTGTACCACACAGCAGAAGACTATGATATGATAAACACAATCCGTGTACCAATTATTCAACAAGAACACCACTTGTCCTATAAAAATTATTATTTCGTTCAGTTATAACTTTCAGCGCAGTCTAAAATGCAACCAAGACACCATAAGGGGAAACTATATGTCCAAAAGTATCCAGACACTTTTTCTAATTGTTGACACAGAACATAATCTCTGCAGAAAAGCAATAGAATGCTCTGGAGCAGGTGCACATGAGCCTAAGATGACCATTCCAGATGCCAAATACAAAGCATGGGCTAGAGGGGTATAAAACCCAACACCACTGTTCCACTGCTTTACAGCACAGTGATGGGGCTCCATCCAACACCTTTGGGATGATCTGGGGTGGCATTTGAGATCCACTAATCCAACATTTAAAACTTAATTCTCCATGTCACACATTTCTTGCAGTCATTTTAGAATCATCCACAGTTGGAAGCTCAGTAAATGTGACGGTGCCATTCGTCATGCACTCACCGGAAGTTCCAGCACGTCCTGTGGCTCCTCCATGAAGGCAGTGAAGTCCTCACTCTCTTGCTTTGAAGTGTCTGCTCACTCACTCTCTACTGCTGCTTCTGCTTTCGTGCAAGCCCTGGAACAAAAACACAAAGGTACACTCAGACAGCGTGGATGCATCTTTCTTTATATACCCTTCCTCTTTTCTCATCCTGGATGACTCGACTTGCGATTGCCCTTATCATATGTGTGATCATGAAGCTGAGTATGACGGAGCACTCAGCAGCGAAGAAAGAAAGTGCATATCTGCTGGCCGCTAATCCTCTGCACTCTACGGACAGGTGAAGTCAGCCGTAGTAGGTAACACACGTGCAGGTCACCCTTCAAAGCACACTCACCTGATGCCTCTTTACTGTTTCTGCATTCGCTCAGGGATTACAAACCCGCGTCTGCTTACATGAGCTCTAACCTACTTTTAGGGAAAAACTAGCCACCGTGTATTCTTTGTGGACTATGTCAGGGGCATTAAGTGTTTATCCACAGGCTGTCATATCAAAAGGTGGACAGGGATAAGATCTAGCCCTGATTTCATTCATTCTCACAAGACAGACATTTATATAATTGGTGTGTAAGTAAAGGAGGTAAAATAGGTCAGGAGGTCATTTAATCACATTTACAAATGATGGGAAAAAAAGCTTATGTAACTTTAGGTTTGTAGCCCTGGGAACTTAACTTATCAGACATTTACTCACAAAACATAAAATGCATTATAACAATTTGATAACACACACTTACATATACACCGATTAGGCATAACATTATGACCGCCTCTTTGTTTCTACGCTCACTGTCCATTTTATCAGCTCCACTTACTATATAGGTGCACTTTGTAGTTCTACAGTTACAGACTGTAGTCCATCTGTTTCTCTGCATACTTTGTTAGCCCTCTTTTACCCTGTTCTTCAGTGGTCAGGACCCCCATGGACCCTCACAGAGCAGGTGCTATTTGGGTGGTGGATCATTCTCAGCACTGCAGTAACACTGATGTGGTGGTGGTGTGTTAGTGTGTGTTGTGCTGGTCTGAGTGGATCAGACACAGCAGTGCTGCTGGAGTTTTTAAACACCTCAGTGTCACTGCTGGACTGAGAATAGTCCACCAACCAAAAATATCCAGCCAACAGCTTCCTGTGACCACTCATGGAGGAGTAGAGGATGACCAACACAAACTGTGCGGCAGCAGATGAGCTATCGTCTCTGACTTTACATATACAAGGTGGACCGACAAGGTAGGAGTGTCTAATAGAGTGGACAGTGAGTGGACACAGTGTCCAGCAGCACTGCTGTGTCTGATCCACTCGTAACAGCACAACACACACTAACACACCACCACCACGTCAGTGATACTGCAGTGCTGAGAATGATCCACCACCCAAATAGTACCTGCTCTGTGAGGGTCCATTGGGGTCCTGACCACCGAAGAACAGGGTAAAAGGGGGCTAACAAAGTATGCAGACAAACAGATGGACTAGTCTGTAACTGCAGATACCAATACAGAACAAATGCACATTTTATATGAAATCTTACCATCATATTATGGGTTTATGTTTTATGTGCTCTACTACTAACCGTACAGTGCAAAAGATGTATAGACCCGAGAACCCTGCTTAAAAGTATCTCGGCCGTAAGGGTGCACTCAACATAACATTAGAATAAATACAACTAAACACAAATAAATTCAATAAAGACTAAAAAGAATTTAGAAAAATTAGTTATCTTGTGAGCCAGTCTGAAGAACAAAGTTCAGTTCCAAATTTCTCCTTGATGCCCCCAGCCATCACATCAGCAGCACATTTGATTTAAGGACATAGTGACTGAGCCAAACCAAGCTTTGGATGATAACCACATTTAATACCGGGCTTCCTCAGCCCAGTATTAATGGTTAAAGGAACATACTGACATAAATAAAACCACCACTTACTATACTAATATTATTTGTATTGATTCTAATATTATTTTTCTGAGCAAATAAACACTCACTCATAAGTTAAATTGCTTTTTAACAGTAAATTTCACATGTATCTAAATCTTTGGCACGGAACTATATGTCTTGGTTTGCAATTCTGTTGGAATATCAGCCCAAAAAGTTACGCTATTTGAGTTGTATGGCTTTGTCAAGCAGGACTGCCACACTGTGGCAGCTGCCTGAGTGAGAAACCACTGCAAGCTAAGACCAATGTACTATTGATTGTGTTAAAATTAGCTAATAGGTGAGCATGAATGATAAATTTCAGTCTCCAGGGAGTGGCTGCAAAGAGGATGATGTAGTTCCACAATTACAGATTTGTTAGCCTTTCTTTACCATGTTCATCAATGGTCAGGATCGTCACAGGGACCACCACTAAGCAGGTGGGGGACTATTCTCAGCACTGCAGTGACACTAACATGGTAGCGTTGCACTGGTATGAGCAGATCAGAGACAGCGGTGCTGCTGGAGTTTTTAAACACTGTGTCCACTCACTGTCCAATCTATTAAACACTCCTACCCTGTTGGTCAACCTTGTAGAAGTCAGAGATGAAAGCTCATCTGTTGCTCCTGTAGTCCTTCTCTGATCAGTTTCGGATAGTAGATAATAGAATATTCTCAGCCCACTAGTGTGATGTGTTTAAAAACTGCAGCTAAACTGCTGTGTGCGATCCACTCAGACTAGAGCAATACTCACAACCATAGCAGTGTCAGTGCAGTGCTGAAGATGCCCACCATACAAATAATATCTGCTCGATGGTGGTTCTTATCGTTGATAACCAGGGTAAAGGGAGGGCTAAAATATTACATAGAGAAAGAGACAGACTACAATCTATAACAGAACTACAATGTGCCCCTACACCAACTGCACACTTCATTAAAACTACCTCCTTGCTTCGACACTCAACGTCCATTTTATCAGCTCCACTAACCATACAGGTGCACTATTTAGTTCTACTGTTACAAATTGTCACCCATCTGTTTCTCTGCATACTTTGTTAGCCCCCTTTCACCCTGTTCTTCAATTGTCAGGACCCCCACAGAGCAGGTACTACTTGGGCGATGGCTTATTCTCAGCACTGCACTGACATGGTGGTGGTGTGTTAGTGTGTGTTGCACTGGTACGAGTGGATCAGACACAGCAGTGCTGCTGGAGTTTTTTAAACACCTCACTGTCACTGCTGGACTGAGAACCCAAAAAATACCTGCTCTGCGGTGGTCCTGACCTTTGGAGAACAGAGTGAAAGGTGAAGCATGCAGAAAAACAAATGGACTACAGTCTGTAACTGCAGAACTATGAAGTGCACCTATATGGTAAACGGGGCTGATTAAACAGACAGTGAACGTAGAAACGAAGGAGGAGTTTCTAATAAAGTGGTCAGCGATTGTTACAACTCAGTTACACAGTTGGCTTCTAGTTTAATGCTCCGAAATTCTCAGCTAGATAGACGAAGCAACATCAGCTTCTTATTCGTCAGTTTCTTGTTAACCTAGAATTTCCTCGTTCCACCTTAAATGGTGCAGCAGTTACATTAACCTCACTTAACTGCTGCACTATTTAAGGTGGAACGGGAGAATTCGAGCAAGAAGCTGGCGAATAGGAAGCCGACATCAGCCCCGTACTATAAAGTCTGTTCTGCTAAAGCAAACGGCCAAAATAATATTTAGATGTGTAAAAAATGCTGATGTGATTTAGCCACCGCGCACCGAAGTCCAACAATGCAACTTTTCTTTTAGCTCAGGATGCTAACGGCTATCTCCCATTCACTCAGCGTTAGCCTTAGTTAGTTAGCCTAGCCGCGTTAGCGCAGCGGGTGTTACTGAGGCAAAGTAAGCGGATTAAACTGATTTTTAAAAAAAGATATTTAAGATGAATTGTGATTAAACTGCATGCTGGGCTTTTAAAGGAGAGAAACGCTTACCATGACACCGAGGTGTTCGTGTTATGCTAAAGCTAACCGGCTAACGCCCTCGCGCGAGCTCTTCTGTGTTGTCAGGGACAACTGCGCAGCAGGAAGCTCAGACTGCGCATGCGCAAACCAGAAAAATAAATAAATTTATATATATATATATATATATATATATATATATATATATATATATATATATGAAGTGAATATGATGAAAAAAGATCACTGAAATAATAATTGAGTCTACACAATACAGTATAAAGCGTGCTAGAGTATAAATCAAGTATTATGTGTATTATTGTAATATAAATGCTTGTGGCCCACATGCACAATGACAGAGCTTAAAGGGGAACTTCACAATTTTTCAAAATGTCTACATAAGTGAAAGGTTAAGATTGTAAACAAAGTCAGAGTGGTTTGATGTGAAATGCTTCATTGTAGAGATACAGATTTCACCAGTGGTGGTGATAGGAACCAGGGGTGCCAATGTCTACAACACAAATATAGCCATTGTATTTACTATGCAAAACCAATCAGTGGACCTACATGTGTCTTCTGTCTTTTATATGTAACACTGATGATGGTGAAATAGTGATAAATCTGAAAAAAAAGGGTTTTATTGGGGACTATCACAAAACTATTATAAGGCAGCGTCTCAGTCATCAGGCAAATATTCATAACCATTTCATGTCATAACTTTCTGTGAGGGAGCTTTCAGAGGCATTAAACTCTTGAGATGTCTGGTTCCTCATCACTCCTATCTCATATTCCAGGGAGCTCATTCCTGAATGTAGAGCATAGAGCAAGTTAAAGCCCAGAGTTTTCTTTTATCAGTATCTGATTAATGAAAACATTCACAAAATATATAATTAAATATCTCTTCAAGAAAATTGTGAAAAGTACTAAGTAAGTCTTAAAGAAATAATCCTTAAAAATCAAATATTCAAAATCGTCCCACTCACCCCAAACATAGCTGATGACCACAGAAATGTTTGGTCTAATTATTATTGGTCTAATTGGTGCTTCTTTAGTTTTGCACTGGACTGTGGGCTACATAGACTTTTATTAGCCACATTTTAGCTACATTACCCATAGCTCAACTCCAAAAGTAAAGAAGCAAACGTCAGACACCAAATATGTCTTGGGTGAATGACTACATTTGGGATAAGGAAGAAAACTGTGTACATTACATTTTTCAGTGAACTATTCTTTTATTTCTGTGGTTCTGACATACAGGTTGTTATGAGGAGAGTAAATGTTTGGTTTTCTTGGCTGTGTTGCTGCAGAGACCGTTTGTTTTATAATAATCATTTAGGCTTATACTTATGGAAGGTGGTAAAAGACCTAGAAATGGATGGACCATCTACTTTCTATGTGCAAACAGTCCCAATACCAGTTCACCCAGAAAAGCAATAAACAAATCACCCAGATTAAAAGTTAATTAATTTATTTAACATTTAATAAAGATCACAATTAAATATTTCATTATTCTAGGGATTTAAAACATGGATCAACAGTATAGTACATCATGGCATGTAAATAAATATACATGACAAAGTATAAAATAAAGTCATCACTTCCAAATATGGAAGAAAATAAACTTGAACTGTATTGTGGTACGTTTCTAAAGAAGGTGAAGAGCAGTATTGGTCCAATATTGAAAAACTTACAAGTGAAATGCACATGCCTCGCTGTTTATGAAGGTGCCTCTAGGAAAGGCCTTGTCTATGTAATTTAACATGATACTACCTTCCCTAATGCAATCATCTTATCTGAAAAGTAGTCACTGTCTACATGTCAAGTTTATTGTTCAGTGTAAAGTGGCGTTTCATTGTACAGAGGTCCCTGTCCAAAATGGAAACTCATACAAGTGGGGAAAAAGGGAAGAAAACACACAGGAAGATCACAATGTGCATATATTAGCTGGACAGGCACGCACTGCCAATGAAAGCACGTTCACAGTCCTTTCTGTGCTAGAAGAGCTGAATATGACCCATACAGTTTCAGCACAGTCAGAATGGGCAGCATCTGCCACAAACAGCAAACCCCTCAGACGACAACCGTGATAAAATGATAACAATATGTAAATATTCATTATTACTGGTATAAAATATACAGCCCGTCCTCTGGTTTTAATGATAAAGTGATTTTATATTTCTATTAACATGCAGAAGTGACCTATCACACATCATAACATGGTATAAAAGTGCTGGCTTTGGAGAAAGACAGGAGAAGAAAGTACGTGTAAGACACAAAAGCTCCATTCAAGGGTCTATAAAGATCTACTTGTTCTACTGTGATGACGTGTACTCGATCACAGCTAAGAGATTCTGATAATGGAAGAAATCTGATATATTAGGGGAAGCAAGATGCAATAAAAATGCAGAGCTATCTTATTTAGTCCTCATTTGGGGCAAAAAGTTTGGGTTGCAGGTATTAACGCGTGCTCGGGCCCAAAACATGCCGCGCGCCGCGTTGCTACAACATAGCCGATTAGCAAAAGTGACGCTTGTCATTATTACTGAAGAAACTTCTTAAGCTAATATAAGCCTATAAGACGTCAGTCTTGTAAGTCGTACTTTTCTTGATCCTTTTTACCCCCAGTGTGCAATAATGCAAAAAAGTACCATTCATTTGACTTCTTGTCTTGAATATTCATCATAAATGTCCTCAAAAGTTTGATCTTATGCAAAACTCGCCCCAGAAAAGTCAGAAAGGCATCTCGCCCAGTAGCTGGTACCATCTTTACAGGGCCAGGAGGCCTAAAGCCTTCGTCATTATTATTGTTTCATATTTTTCTGAATGTTCAGGCACTTCTTCGCTTTCCATCCGTTGTGCTCAGTCCAGTTCTACAGTAGTCAGAGAATATAGTCCCTGATGCAAACTTGGCACACTTAGCATCTGCTCTAGAAGCAGTCCGAGATATGATCCTGCTGATATCCAAATAACCCAGCACGGACGATCACAGATGTCCACAGTGAGTCAATCCTCATTCATACAGTACACCTGACCAGAATAGCAGGAAATGCTAACAATCCAAACAGCTGAAAATGCTAACAACGTCCTCCTCCTTTGTGGTCCCTCATGTGTGCTAATAAAGCCTTCCTCAGTCTCTCCTGTAGTCCGGAATGGGGGGGAAGTGTGCATTTGGAGGAGCATGCTGGATGTTGGAAGCGGCTACTGGAAGGCAAGGTCAGCTGGAGGTCCGTAGGAAAAGCCCGGGAAAGCTCCAGCCGCCTCTCGGATGCTGCTGGTCACGTGCAGGTTGTCCGTGTTGAACAGGGAGGTGGACACAGGCAGGTGCGTGAACTCAGGGTCAAAGTGCCGGAGGTCAGTGGGACCAGACTGTGAATTTAATAAAAGACTTATATTTAGTGTATATATATATGGTTAAATATACTTACATCATACATTTGCTGTAAAAAAGGTGAACAGGCTAAAGTGTGTTTGAGGTTTGAATTAATGGTAAATATTGTTTTAGTTCATCTAAACTAAAATTTTGCTTTCCATTGTATGTATTTGAGCTGTGAAACTAGCGGAGTAAAACTAGTTAAATTGCTTATTACTACATGAAGGATGAACTGATCATTTTTACAGCGTACTCATCTTATTTACATATATTAAGGGTGTAAAATGTGTTCATTTGAAGGTGGCACTTGATTTTTGGAATGTCTGACTCTATTATAATTAATTGTAATAATATTCAGTGACATTCTCAGGCTAATTTCAAACAGAAAGCTACAAGAAAATTGTTTTTATTGCTGTTTTCTTTTAAAAATAATTCTGAATCATATCAAAATAATCACAATGAAGCAAATCATGATGCAAATGAATCTTTTATCATATCCTAAAGAGTTTTACAGAGAATCAAATTGCTGTCAGGTCTGAGATTTGCACCTCATGCATGCATGCAAGTGCACAAGCCGGTGAAAATGTTTCTCTTACCACTGACGGGATGAACGGAGGGGTGATTTTTCTGGCCATCAGGTCCTCCCAGTTGATGGGAGAGAAGAAGCTGTGGTACTTGAGCTCCAGCTAAAGAGACAAATAAGACAGTCAGGTCCCTCGCATTGTAATTACATGTTTGATATGATATTAGTATGATGTTTAAGACTAGACACTTACAAAGTCGTCCTTCACCCCAAGCCTCTTGGTCCGGTCCTTCTGCAGCAAACCCTCGAGCAGCTCGCGTCCAGCGTTGGACACGTTTGGTTTCAGCACCAGAGACTTGTGGAGGATGTTGTTGTACATCTCAGCTGTGTTACGACTGTAGAAAGGAGGCTATAGAGAGAGAGAGAGAGAGAGAGAGAGAGAGAGAGAGAGATCTAATTTAGACTTTAAGTCTCACTAATGTGGTAACAAGCAGTCTTAAGTGGAGTTACAGCTTTTCTCTTACATAGTTCTGTACTCACCAGTCCATACAGCATCTCATAAAGGACTGACCCAAGGCACCACCAGTCCACTGTGCGGTCATAGGCTTGTTTCTGTAGAACCTCAGGTGCCAAATACTGTGGAGAAATAAATGTATAATTAGATGATTTTAAGGTACAACTTTATTAGGACTGTTTAGTAAATAATTCAATTATTCAAACATATTATTGTGGTAATTTTTTTTAAAATAAAGAGAATGTCAGATGTGACTGGAGGAACTATTTACAATATTTAGTACTGAATCATCAATAAAAACAGATTTTTCACATTTGAAAAGAACCTTATATTTAAATATATGTAGTGCTCACTTTACTGAATATTATTAAATATTAATTTAAATATTCCATAAATAATGTATTCTTTTTATACAATTTATTCTAATATTCCAAAATCAAAGCTGTTTATTCACCTACAGATTTACAAATGCATATTTATATTTAGTAATAACAACTAAAGTATGAATTATCTAGAGCATATGCAGTACTAATTTACCTCTGGAGTTCCACAGAACGTAGTTGTTGTTCCGTTGGGTTCCAGTCCCTCCTTGCACAGGCCAAAATCAGTCAGTACAATATGGCCCTGAGAGTCCAGCAGGATGTTCTCCGGCTTGAGGTCTCTGTAAAAAAAACATGTGGTCAGATGCCAAAGCTGCTACACAGACAGCTAATTT